AGGGGGTGCCTGGAGGGAACTCAGAAGCTCTGTATGTCTGGCGCTGACTCTCCAGTCTATCCAACTCAGTCGTAAGGAAGCGAATGCAGAATATCCAAACAATTACACTTCGCAGAGGGAGCTCGCCCAGCACCCCACCCATGTGCAGTGTGCCTGACGCCCGGCACGGGCTGGGGCAGCTGTCCAGCACGGCTGTCTCAGGGTCTCCAGGTGGAGCCGCTCAGACAGGACAGACTACTTCTTGATGACCTCGTCTTTTACTCTTCCTCTTAACACACACCAAGAAATGACTCCAACAAGTATGCGTGAAGGGAGGCCAGAGAATTCCTTTACCCGCACTGTCTGGGGCGGACAGGCCCGACCGCGTGTCCCTGCTGGTCCTCTGTGGCGTGGACCACCACTCGGCGCACTCTGGCCGGGAGCGAGCCCACCTCTCTGGGAAGGCTGCGGGCAGACCTCCAGGGCGGCGCGGCCCCGTGACTGGACGAGAGCAGCAAACACACCCAGAGCAAAGGAAAGGAAACACACAATTACGTGTTCACAGTCTGTACGTTTTGCTTAGGGGAGAAAGTGAGTCTCCTGTGCACAAACCTCTACTCCCCAGTCAGGAGAGGGTCATGGCAGTTATCGGCAAACACGGTCAGTAATCAGACTCACCTCGTTTCCCTGCCGTCTCCCTTTGAAACAATCATCCCGCGTCAGAACAGACAAAATAGCCTCCATCTTCATCTCAGACATGCTGCAAAAGGAAGGACAAGTCCCGGTGAACCTCGCATTCTCTCAGGAACACCCAGGACCTTGCTGCATGAAGCCGGCCCGTCTCAAGCTGACGAGAGGGCGCAGAAGCTTCGCCGTCACTGAAAGTGAACACTCTCCTGATCTTTCAGAATCGGAGGCAAGGAATGTCTAGGATGTTGCGCGGTAGAAGGGGTCATATTCCCAGCAATGTGCTTCCTCTCTGCTGAATCTACAGTGGGCTCCCTCTAGGATACCCTCCGTGGAGCTGCTTCTCCGAGTACTCGCCCCAGGTCTGAGTAACCATCTACACCCTGACTTGACCGGATCACGAAGCAACAAAACATCCCATTGTTCCTTCGGTTTGATAATTAAACCATAAAGGGGGTGGGGAGTGGCTTTTTCAAAAAGACCTTCAGCTGTTGGGGTAAACACCTCAGTGGAAGTTACCGAGCACCCATCACCCCATCCACACGCCCGCACCCTCCTCTGCTCCACCCCAAAAGGCCCTCACTGCCATCACTTGTGACTACCAGGCTGTGAAGCCCATCGATCTCTGGTGAAGCAGAGCTGCATGCAAATGGCTGAAACCAGAATTGGGGCTTCACTCATGAACAGAAGCCACCAGAGGCCGAGCAGAAACCAGCACCCCACTCAGCAGTGAAACCAGGAAAGCCAGACCCTCACTTGCCATCTTTCGAGGTCACAGGCGGACCCCAGACCCACGTGGCTACGCTGAGGGAGGAAAGCTGCTGGCTGTAAACAGATTCCCAGGGAGGAAGGGGCAGGGAAGGGGTTTATTGGGGGAGAAAAACAGATCATGAAAAGATAAATGACTTTCCTGTGTGTTGTTTTCTTCCCTAACAGTAACAGCAAATTAAAACATGAATGGCAGCCTCTTATGCATTCCCCTCCCCCAAAGGCTACTCTGACAAAGCTATGAATGAAAACGTCACATCTCTGACAGCCACTCACCTGAAATCTGTCACCGCTTTCCCAACACCCCAGCCCCCTCCCAACCCTTCTTGGCTGCCAGCTCAGCCTGGACCGTGGATCCTTTTCCAGCATCAGAGGCAAGCGGAGGGCGCGAGCTGTGGGAGAGGGCAGGGTGGGCGCGAGGGGTGCTCGCGAGCTCATGGAAAAATCTATTTTTCATAAGAGACAGAAATGCAAGGCGACTGAATTTGCCTCATACTTATGCCTGGGAATCTGAAGGAAGATGAAACCCTATCCTTTCCTTTGTCTGACTGACCTGCCTCTATCCGTCCCTTTTCTTCTAGAAGAAAAAAAGGAAAAATACAAAAATAAAAGAAACGTAAGAACCTGGGGGTCAAATCTTAAGGTAGGAAGAAAAAGAACAGGAATGCCATTCACAGTCAGGCACAGGGATAAGCAGGCCACAGGAAGGCGGACCCCAGGCAAGCTGAGAGAGCTGGGGGGGGGGGGGGGGGGGGGGGGGGCAAGTACATCTACTCTGCCCGGAGGGGGCCGAGAAGGGACTCCAATGAGTCACAGTTTAAAGGGGCCTCACCTAGGCTAAGAAACCTTGGCTTCTGAGGAAGAGGCAAACCTACCCTGCATTCAGGGCCTGTCTTTTGCTGTTCTAAGAAGGGTTGGTTTTGCTGAAGCATTTCCATTTTAACACACCGATGACGGCCTTCATTAGAAGAACATTTAAAGGGGAAGTGGGGAAGAGTCAGGACGCTGACAAGGAGGAAGAAGTCAAAGGGGTGGAGAAAGCCTCCGCCCGCCATCTCCTGCCTCCCCCCACCCCCCCCCCCCATCTCCTGCCCCAGCCCCTGCCTGCCTCCTAAATCTGGCCGGAGGCGGGTGGCGACTTGTTGGGAAGGTCCTTGCTGCAGAGAGCCTCAGCCTGCCACCTGCACCTCCCACAAAGCTTCAGGCCGCTGGTGCCCCGCTAGCGGCACACAGATTCTTAGGCACAAAACACACTCACACTTCCACCTGCTTTTTTTTTTTTTTAACATTTCGGAACACACCTTTTGAATTCCAAAAATGCCCAAGTCTGCTTCTTCACCCCATATACTTTGCAACCAGTTCTTACTAGATTTATTTTTGGTATTAAGTCAGAGAAGCAGTCTGTACATACATACCTAACATCTGCCCCTCCTGACTTGGAGGAAAATGCACAGCTGCCCACACACACAGGCTCCAGGCCTGCTTAGGTCAGTTCTGTCAGCCCATGAGGCCGTCTGGTACCAGCACTTAGTGAGCCCATGAGGCCGTCTGGTACAGGCACTTGGTTTTCAGGGCAGAAAACAGCAGGCGGGACACCGACAGGGCTCGCGCCCTGTTCCTCAGCCGCAAACCTCCTCCCCACAATGTCTCTCTTGCCCCTTCTGGCTTCCTCGCCCAGCCCAAGCCCTCGGCCTCCTGAGCTGTGTCCTGAACATGAGCACCACGCTGGAGTCTCACGAGTGCTGTTATGCCTGAAACTTTCCCCACAAGCAGTGTGTTTATTCAGGCAGAGGTGCCCCCGTCACCCACCACCCACCACCGGCACACACCTACAACCACTGATGAGGAGGTTGTATCAAGGTGGGCGACCCAGGAGAGGGGGCACTCAGTGAGGGAGCTGCTGGCAGGATGGGGTACAGGGACATGCACCCACAGGTCCAGCATGTATTGGCGGGGGTGGAGGGAAGGGAGCTCTGTGATGGCTACACAAGTCTGAAAACACTTCCCACAGGTGCACAAGCCCCCGGGACACACAAGAACCACTGCACTGAGGACATCGGTGACATTGGGGAATCTTCACCCCCATGTGTATCTGGAGCACGGCTGCCCACAGGGTGCTGCATAGACACAGAGGGCCACGTACATGAGTGCCAGCCCGGGATTTGGAATCTAGTGGCAATGAAGCCCTCGGGGACAAGTGACTGACTGACCTGCCAGACTGCTCTCACGAGTAAGAGGAATAGGCCATCCTCCTGAGCTAGTCTACACCACTGTCAGTCAGCAAAGTTAAGATGAGACATGTTAAGTGGTAGCGCAAAGCACTCCTGAAACCACAGAAGGAAGCCCCTTCCTAGTTCGCTGGAGCAACCTTGAGAGCTAGGGGGCGCCCCAAAGTCAGCAAGGGGAGGGAAGCGCCGCAGGGTGGGGCATACGGGACGAGTGGTGGGATGTCACGTCCGGTGCTCCAAGCGGGCACCTGTGCTTGGTCCCGTGGCCCAGGCCAGGTCCTCATGCGGCCCAGCGGTATTTCAGTATTGGTCAAGAACACGCGCCTTTCCCAGTTCTGGACTTCAGGGGGCGAGTCTTGCGGGCTCACTGGACACATCACACAAAGAGCAGAGTAGAGGAAGCGTGGCCCTCAGGTCCAGTGCACACCGAGGTATGTGCCCAGGTCCGGGTGTGGGGTCTGAGCGGCCACAGCCCCTGCCACACCTGTGGGGAAGACACACGGCTCTGTGCCTCCTGGGACGCCGACAGTGTCACCAGTCGGCTCACTTGTCGCTGAGCACAAGATGTCTGGACAAGGTCAGCGTGAACGCTGCTTGCCCTGTGACACCTGTGATGAGAGCTGCTTACTTCAGGTGCCGGAGAGTGTATGGAAAACATGAGAAAAGAAATTCATTCTTGGAGCCTGGGGAAATCGCTCGGCCTTTGGAACATGGCTCCTGGCCCAGCTGGACGGCTGCTCTCTGGATTTGCTTTGTGTATCTTCAGTGAGACCGAGATTGGGGGAGCCTGACTAAGTGTGCTCACACTGTGACCAGCTGAGGCGGTGCCCGGGCGACATGGGAGCTTAACTGGGGGCAGAAAGCGATGTTGCCTGTCACCAACACACAGCACAAGCTCCCGCAAACCTCCTCATGACTTCTCCCTGGGCCGGTTTTTCTGGGGAGATGGGAGTTGTGTGGTGAGTAGAAAGTATTATTCTTCTCAACTTTAAAGGTGGACAACTTTAACTGCAAGAAATTAAAAGCATCAACAGGAAAGGTCTTTCTGAAGGCCAGAGAGGGCCACGCACACGCTCCAGGGGGAGGAGCGAGCACAGCCCTCGACCCCAGACCAGGCACGACCCGCATGGCCCTCGACTCCGTCTGCCATGCAACGAAAACTGTCATGTGCTGATGGCATTAAGGGTTTTAGTTTTTGCCACTGGCTATTCTGGGACTCATTTAGGGATCACAAGGGTTAATGGCTCTTCGTCAGCTTACAAGGCCCTTCCGCTGTAAAAAGCGACAGAAAGTTAATTAGGTGAGATCAGCCGAAAGCCGTTCAGGTTTCTGACTCACTTGATTTTGTGAGAAGCCAACGAGTTGACATATTCTGCCTCCGAAGGAGCCAAAATGAGCAGGCTGCTCCCCTGGCAGCCAATCCGGGCGGTTCTCCCAATCCGGTGGATGTATTCGGCAGGTGAAGACGGAGCGTTGTACTAAAAAGGGCAACAAAAATGAAGGCATTCACAGATCAAGGGATTGCCATTAATTGGAAGTGCAATACCCCTCACCTGCCTCCAGGTATCCCAAGAATTAAATCCTGGTGCTATGGTTACCCTCACGCAATCACAAGGAGAAGTCACTCAGCCCTGAAACTCCTGGCTTCATCGGAAATAACAAGGCTCTGACACGCCAGCGTGAGCAGCGGCCAAGTTTCAGAGAAACGAGACGTCTCCTTGTCCCAATATCGCCCTTTTAATTTTACTTCTCCACAGGTCTCTTCACGTTCCCATTTGCATTTTTTCACCGTGGTGACCGAGCAAGGTGAACAGGCTGGCAGGTGGGGTACAGTTCTGCAGGCTGACCACACGACCTTGGCCTACTTCCCCAGCAGACAGAGCAGCGGGAATGTGGCTGCTGGACAGGGAGAGGCAGCAGGGGCACAGGATCCCTGAAAGGCTTGCCGCCACCCCTGCTGCACCCCACCCAGTCCCATGAGGAGGAGTTGCCGGGCCATGAGAAACAGGTTCCCTCACACTGGACCAGCGACGGTGCCTGGGCCTGCTGTGGGGCGAGGGCAACCTACACCGCAGCAGGATGGATGACCACAGCCTCGGACGTTCTCCAGGCCAGTCTTGGGTCATCATGAAGACAGGCTGACCACATTCCTCCTCTCCGCCCCTTCCCTCTGCGACCACGGGGAGCAGAGATCAGAGGACCATGATGGCTGCAGCCTGCGGGAGGCCAGGCCTCGCGCTAATCACAAGCAGGTGCCAAGCGATCGACTGTGCGTGAAAGGCCTCTTGCACATTAAGGCCCCACGGCCTCCTTATCTGCGACGCGCCCAGTGGCCAGCAGAGAAGGCAAAGCATGCTCCAATGCAGTGAGAACTGCAGTGAGTAGACCAGGTTTCCCAGCCAGTGGCAGGCGTTCAAATGCACGAGAACATGACTAAGCCGTAACTCACGTAAAGAGCGCACCCCCGCCCCCACACAGAAGGGCTTGAAAAATGCCATTCTGTGGACTAACAAAAAGAAAATCCAAAAGAAAAACCACCAGACTCTGGTGCTAACACCTGTACCCTCTGGCAAAGCGTGCAGCACTAGATGTATGTGTAAGATGCTGTCAAGGACTTAATTGCCCCTGGAAGTCACTGTACATGGACACGGCTCTCAGGACAGCTGAGGCCTCTCCTCCCGGACACAATGAGGCTTCCCGGGGCCTGGGCTACTCCCACTCTTTTCAGATTGGACACTGCATGTGACATGCATCAGTCTGGAAGCAGGGCCTCCTCCCGTGAGGGCGCAGGCTGGCTGTTTGGCTGCAGCAGCGAGGAAGGCTGGGTTAGGGAAAGAGGATTGTGCTGGTAAGGATGGTTGCTGCCTGGTTACCAGGGCAACGCCCAAGAGGGTAATAATAATTATTCTACTTAAAGGCAATGCACCCACTTGAGATCATATATTCCTGTTTCGAGCTCACACTTGAACAAGTAAAAAATTACCTGAACAATCCATGTGACTTGCGGGAGATCTAAGCCCCGAGCTGCAACATCCTTCAAAAGAGAAAAGAACATTGTTAAGACTGAGTTTCTAAACCTTTGGTCATGGAGCTGTTTGATACTTTAACGCAAACTAGGAGGGCCCACGCGTGCATGTATACACACACACACACACACGCACGCATGCACACACACACACACAAACTTCAGGCACCAAGAAGTCCATCTGTGGCTTCAGCTACTTCTGACGTCGGGGAAGGCCCCTGAGGGCCACTGGGGAGGCAGGCATGACCGCTTCCTAGAGGACACCACGCACAGCTAGGAAATGAAGTGCTCGTCACTGTCAAGTAAGAACTTGGGAAACTTCAAGCATGTTTTACTACTTTCACAGTTGATCTGAAAACCGTGCCACTATGCAGTGCCTTCGCTCATACCTGTCAGCAGTGTCCAGCAATGCCCGGCTCTGAGGCGTGCTTCTGGAGAGCGCCAGGGTGTCCCCTTGCGGAGGGGGTGGCAGAGTGTGACAAGGACTGTGCTCAGCGCCCCAGAGAGCAACAAGGAACAAGCGAGGGCCGCCAATTTCAAAGGCTAAACTTGCAGACCAAAGCTTGACTCTACAGATGGAAACCGTCAGAGCAACGGCACTTTATTTTCCTCTTGAGCGCGTCACCAACCAAAGAGCCAAGACTCTCTGCTTCCTTGAGTCCCTGGCTCTTCTGGCAGAGAGACTAGAAAGTGGGACTCCTCCAGTCCTTAGCAGTAAATTTACACTTGGCCTTCGCCCCGAAGGTGACCATCACCCATCGGCATTTCTGTGCACCAGATACTGCACGGGGCACCTCGCCTTTGCTACCTTGACTCAGCACCAAACAGCTCAAAACGATCGTGATTTCCTTTTGACAGAGGTTCAGAGAGATTAAGCAACCTGCCAGGGACACACAGCCGAGCAGTGGCCCTCAAATCCAGTCTGCTTTACTTTGCCTTATTAGATCACCTTGTATTCCACCATCAAAAAGATGCTGTGTCCCTAATATACTGCTGGTGGGGGTGCAAAATAGTACAAAGCCCCAACGGCAGGAAATATGACAACAGCCAGCAAAATCATACCACTTGCCCTTTGACACCCCAGAGATACACTGGCAAAAATATAAAGCGATATGTGTACAAGCTTTCCCTGCAGCAAGAAGCAGCATCCAGAGGGGTCAGGCTGACTACGGCATGGCCACGCCCGCCCCTGGAGCCCTGGGAAAAAGCGGAGGCGCCCGTGGACGGGCGTGGAAGACCTCTAGGGCGTGCTCTGAGTATGGACACTCTGCCTTTGTGCAAAATGGGAGAGGTTAAAATAAACTGTTCATATTTGAAAAAGAAATGAGAAAGTGAAAACCTCAAAAGCTCACAAGTCACCCACAAGGGAAGGAAGAGGGGAAGGGGTCAAGGACAGGCCAGACTTCCTTTGCTGGACCTTCGTACTCTGACCGGAACCAGGGAAATGTGCTGATCCAGTGGGAAGGCAAACCAGCGGTGATGCGGCGCAGGAGCCTAACTCACCCCTAGGCCTCATTCCTGCCAGAAATAAAGAAGCAGACACAGCTCAAGAGCCTGAATCTGACCAAGAGTCTCCACCCGGCTGCCGGCGGACAGTCCGTGCAGGGAGGGGGACCCGCGGAGCATCACGCGGACGACTGGCCAGACCCAGATCATGGGGTGTGCTGAAGGACAAAGGCCGTCCCGCCAAAAACCCAGGAAACAAGAGGGTGACGGAAAGAAAAGACTTTAAAGAGCCGGATGAGCGGGGCGGAACCAGCAGCCGCACGGATGCCAGGCGGCTCACCTGCAGGAAGGGGCTTCTACGTTTCTTTTCGCACTGTCCTATGTGCTTTAACAATGAACTCACATCATTTCCAAGCAAATTTTTATTTTGAAAACTTACACCCACAAAAACGCTGAAGATGACGAGTTCAGCAGCCCGGACACCTGCGTGGAAGCCCCCCAGTGCACACGGGCTTTCTCGACATACAGATGCTTCCCGAGCCATCTAAGTTGCAAAGGTCACAGTTACTGTGAAGTGCTTTTTAGCACATACCTCCTAAGTAAAAGGAGGTGCATGCACATCATCGCCCCTGAGAACTTTAGCACCGAAACGCCCTGTTCCCGAACAACCAGGTCCCAGGCACGTGTCTGCCCTGCTGATCACGGTCTCTCCTGACCCAGAGCCGAAACAGAGAGCACACACTCCATCCGCAAGAGATCCTGCTGCCTTCCGCAATCTAGAACAATACCCGGGTCCCTGATTTACTCAGTGCTTTGAGGACTACCCATTTTGAGGGTCCAGGTGCCTTGAAGAATATCCCAGAGCCTGGAATTGCACGAACGAAGCTTTTTTGAAAAATACTAACCCCGCAAAAAGGTCCCACAGGAAGCACCGTAACCCACTGGCTTCCCCTACCACCCAGGGCCGAGGCAGGACTGGAGGGCCGTGGCCCTCCATCAGATACCTCACCCGGGCCCCCGAGGTCAAGGTCTGCCTGCCTCGCTGATCACACCCAGGCTGGCTGGCTTCCTCCGAACCGTGGCTGGGTTGCGCGCATAAAGTGTTACACAGAAGTTTAAGGTATTAAACGTGTGTCAACCACCCACGAAGTGTTCAGACACTCCCACGTGCCCTGAAAGCTGCAGGCGGATGTTCCAGAGCTGATGCCTTTGAGAACACAATTCACAGTGTTCTCCACACAAACCACGGTTGATGTCTTGAGACAAACTGACGGGTTCTTAAATCTGCTAAGCTCCTGTGAAGACGTGACTTATTTTATGTAAGTGCTCTGCAGTGGGAGAGCGTGTAGACAATGGGCTGCCTGAGCTTTACAGACAGGCTTTGTAAAAAATTTAATGCTCGTCAGTTTAGTAAATTCAACCAGGAAACACAGATAAAACTCTTAAACCAGCACACGCCGGCACGAGACCTGCAGAACACGAGCGCGCGGCAGTGCTGAGGGAGAACTAGCCACCCGGCGTGGGGACAGCTGAGGTTCCCTTTCCCACTTGGGCGCCTGTGACCAGGACAAGAGGCTGGGCGTGATGTCCCCGTCCCGACTACTCATCTTGAGGCAGGAGAGCCTCCCAAGTCGCCACCCCCTACTCATACCTAAGCCAGCCATTTCCGTAAGTCCTTCTTTCTGTTCTCCATCAGGGCCACCAGAGAGAACAGGAGAAAGGCGCCATCTTCCTGGTTCAGGAAGAGAGACAACCGGACTTCAGGATCACTCAGAGGCCATATAACCTGGGCAGGTCAATCTATCTCTCTGAGCCTCAGTTTACCCACCTACAAAACAGCTGAGAGAGCCACCCTGACGAAGGTGTCGATCAGAAGCCAAAGCATATGTGAGGTGATTTGATTGAGCAGTGGCCTGGGATTGCCCCACCCTCCCTCCCTCCCCCCCAGACAGAGGACACAGAGGAGCAGGCGTCCGCTCTGCCTTCCCAGAACGCTGGCCGCCAGCTGTGTGCCAGACCGCAGGACACCGTGACCTGCCAACGGCTCAGCAAAGCCTTCGGTCCTCTGCCCACTCTCAGAACTTCGGTCCAGCCCAACTGTATTCTGTTAACCTAATTAGGGCAAAAGAATGGCTAAAGTCAGTTCTGAAAGACACGCAACGGTGAGGCCTTGAAGCCGGGGCTTGACAACCGGCCGCCTCCGTGAGCGCGAGCAGTACAGATGGAAGGCAGTGTGCTCAGGTGCCAGCCTGTCAGTTGGATTAAAATGACTCATTTATTTACCCAAGAACCTCACAAAGTGCTTTTACTACCAGGGAGAGGGAGCCTGCCGGCGCTCTGAGCAAGGGACACGGCAAACCTGCCTCTGCCGCTTCTCGGCCTGCCAAAAGTCATTATTGCCGAGTGTGGAAAGCCATCAGCGGGGTACAGGCCCCTGTTGTCCGGGTGACAGATTGGGCTGCGTAATCAGAGGAGGAAGGGGAGAGTGCAGAAGCTGTCAGAGGCGCGAGATCTTGGCTAGAGCCGCCAAAGAACTGGCAACATGAGTTAGTGTAACTGAGTAAACAGCCAGCCATCTCCAAATGATCTCGCCATTAACACGGCTGAAATCAAGTGCGAGAGAGAAACTTCACCGAAAAGCATACCCTGGAGAAAAGCAGGAGAGTCTACCACTCATTTTGGGTGGTGAGCTGACACTCTCGTCTCTCTTAGGTCTCATCTCCTTTGTCTCCTGGCCTCCTGGCACAATGGGAACTCCCCGGGAGAGGAGACGAAGGCCAGCAGACGTGACAGCGTGTTTCGGGCAAAGCAAAACCCAATCGGGACCGTGCAAGGCAGCCCGGGCGACCGGGGATCGCCTGGACAAGGCAGCACGTGCTGGACAACCACAATTGGGTCCAGCCAGCAGTCCCAGGTGGAGCGGGACGGGCCTCTCCTCACCCAGAACGGCCACTGCTCCCCATTTAACCAGGGACAAGCAGAGAGCATGGAGTCAACCTCCGAAACAGGGAGCCTGGGAGTAGCGTCCCCAAGCACTCGAGGCGGTCTCTTCGCCGACCATCAGCCTGCCGAAGGCGGCGGGCGCTCCGGTCCCCTCCCTCGGCTCAGAGGAGTTCTCTGCCATCAGCAGGAGGAAATATCTGCGGAGAGCCTAACGCCTTCTCTCTGATTCCTCTCATTTCTTAATTCCGCCAGGGAAAGCGAGCTTTGAACTTTCAACAACTCCCTCCTCCTCATCCTGGCTCCCTACTCAAGCGGGCTTCTCAGATCTAGCTTTCTTGCGGACACAAAATTCCATCGTGGGTGTGTAAAGACACTCCCAAACAGACCAGTCTCTCCTGCCCACTGGCCGCCTGGGCCCCTGCCCAGGCCCCTCTCCTCACGGCCACGTTCAGAGAGACCCAGCACCGCCCAGGCCCCGAGAGACCACCCAGCATCCTTAAGCCCCTTGCTGTCAAGATGTCTGTAATTAGATGAAAGGACACACAATGACGTGTCACTTCCTAAAACGAGAAGATAATGGAGGACGAGGCAGGGAGGGGGCCCTCCAGCAGGAAAGGAAATAGCAGGACCGGGAGCTTTTGTGTGGAGCCACAACTCCCAGCTTTCATCCAGACACCCAGCCTTCGAGCCCCGTTCAAAGGGCCCTCCAATGATAAAATGGCAAAAGGAGCAGCAGAGAGGGCGGGAGAGGCCCCCGCGACAATTAACAACATGATTCCTCTTTATCAAAAGAAGCCGGTTCTCCATCTGCCTTGTCCTGACGTGGCCCTCGTTCCTCATTAACACTAAGGAGGCTCCTGGAGCGCGCTCAGAAGGCCTGGCAAGCAACAGGCTGCTGGGAAGTGACAGCCCTCCCCCACCCCACAATGGCCTCCGTGTCTCATATGCTGCCCAGCCCTCCGACACCAGGAGCGTCAGGCTGAAGCAAGCAAGTGTGGCAGGAGCGGAAGGGACCCGGGGAGAGTGAGTGAAGAGCCCTCATCCCTGGACACCTGGGCTTAGCTCCTGAGAAGTGGGGAGACGATGAGCCTCCCCCAGTTCTTCCCCGGTAGCTGACTGCATGAAAAAGGGAACTGGCAAAGGATCGGGGTACTGGGAGGCCCCGGACGAGCGGCGCACACATGGAGAGGCCAGAGGACCGACTCAGGCCAAAGTGAGAGCTCGCGTTCCCTGGGCACCATCCAGCAGGGCGGGGCTGGGCACTGGGATCTGCCCACCATGGGGCTCCCTGTCTGGCTGTCACTGGCCTGCACACAGCAGCCAGACAGAACAAGTCATCACATGGTTCAGACCCCACTGAGAATTACATTTCAGGAAGAATGATTCTTTTCCTTCCATGTCAATCTACTAAAAAACCAAAATCCAAACTAAACAAACCAAAATCCTGACTTTTCCATTCCTGGAGTTTTCTGAAACGTCATGCTCGCTGGTATCTGTAGAAGATGGCAGCACTGGCACCAGGAGACGGGGACCAGGGACAAGCGCCAGTCTTAAGGGTGAGAGAGACCCCATGCCCCTAACCTAGCCCAAGCTCCACACATATGTTCCCACTGTCTCCCACCCAACAGACTCGGCCACAAGAACGCTCTCCTCGAGGAGCGACACGGAAACAGAGGCCTTGTCCTCAACGAGCCGGCAGCCTTGTCTCTACAAAACTGCATGCGGGTGGTTCTCGGCACCGACTTTCTTGGGCCTCATCCACCCAGCCAAGCCACAAACACCGTGGCCCACTGAGTGCCCGCTCGGTGCCAAACTCTGGATGGAACAGCAAACAAGATGGTGCCTGTTTCCACAAGCTTGCGACCTGGGGGCAGACACCCAGACTGGGGCAGAGCATCACCCTGTGACCCAGCACACAGTGGGAGAGCCCGATGGAAGAACTGGAGCTCCCAGGGACCTGCTTCCTGAAAAAAATAAAACTGAAGCTGAGACCTAAATAGGGGTGAGTCAGAGTGGGGTGCCCCAGGCAGAGGGAATGCATGTACCAAGGCCCCCAGGTCAGAAAAAACAAGACCACACATTCAGGGAACTGAAAGGGCTGGAGCAAGGGGGAGCAGGCACGAGAGGACAAGAAGGGGTGACGCTCCAGAAAGGACTGAGCATGCAGTAAGGTTCCTGGCAAATTTCAAGTACATTAGCTGGACTCATGACTTCAGATCCGGCATTTAAAGATGTTTCTAGAGCAGACGCGAGCATCTGCCTTGAGGTTGGACGGACGGTGAGACTCAGACCTCCTTGGGAGGTGAGCCGGCCGGCAGGCTGGCGTGTCTGTGAGCATGCAGGCTCACACAGCAGAACAAAGCTGCCCTGGCTCACGGACTCTTGACACAGAGCGCGATCTCTATTGCCTTTAAGACGCAACACAGAGCAGCAGAGCCTTAAAAAGTAGTCGCCTTAAATGAGACCTACACAGGCTGCCAACAGCCCAGTGTCTTTGTTCCCATCCAGCGCTGTCCGCTGGAATTCCTACTTTTCTTGCAATTTCACTACTGCATAGACCACATAGGGGTTTCTCAAACAGCCAGTTGGAGATTAAGTCACATCATCCAAGATGGCACACACAGAAAAGGCATTTTCATCTCGGGAGCAAGCAGGAGCGAAGGGAAGTGAGTCCCCAGAGAAGCGGCACGGGGAAGGTGTGTTTCAATCTCGAAAGAGCACCAGAGTCGTGCATTAAAAAGGTCAGTGCTGAGCTGGAGGAGGGGCCGGCCCAGCCTGCAGATTTGAGGCCGGATGAACTGGCCCTGAAAATTGCAGGGCAAATGATAGTTTTAGACAATAGCAAATAAAGCCTGCGCAAGTGCATCTGTTTTCCTTTAAGGAGAGGTGAGCAGAGGCAGGCAGAGCGAGCCTGTTGTGGGAAGACTTTCTCAGCTCTAATTACTCCCGATAGCTGTTAATTTACAAGTTTTTGGTAGATAGAAATCGCCGAGATTCACACATTTTCAGACCAACAGCTGCCACTATTAGTGAGCAAATCGCCAAGTCCTGTGCAGGGTGGCAGCGACTGTCTGTGGCAGTCAGGTAACAAGCAGCAGTGGAGACCAGCCACCGAGAGGCCCGGCTGACGGCGGGGCGGGCTGCAGCGTGAACAGCCGACAGCCGGCACCACAGTCTCCCTTCACATGCAGAACAGGGGATACGCACCGTGCAAAGGAGGACGCCTGTCTTGGAGTGCGCGAACTCCTGAAACACGGCTGTTCTTTCCTACAAACACAAGGGAAAAGGCCTTACAACTCTGACAGGGAATCTGTGAGGCAGGTATAGATCCCTATCTCCCCGAGTCCCACCGCTCTCAGTGTCTTCAGGCAGAGGTGCTGTCAAGAAAGGGGAAGAAGTGGACGCCCCGTCTCCCGCGAAGACCTCACACTGACGGGACCCGACCTCGCAGCTCTGGCCCGGTGTCGGGCGGCAAGGGGTTCCCTCAAGGCTCGCTAAGACCAATGCTGTGCGGGCACGGCATTCAGAATGGCCCATGCCAGCAGCCAGGGAGGCTGAGCAGGCAGGTTCCCAACTGGGTTCTGGACAGCTTCCTTCAGAAGGATCCCAGAATGAAGAAGTACCTGCTTTCCCTAGAGAGCAATTTTTTTAAATATGAATTTTTAAAGGGCCTCCCTGGTGGCCTAGGGTTTAAGTCTCAGCACTACTACAGCATGAGTCTGATCCCCAGCTAGGGAGCTGATCCCACATATGACACAGCAGACCTCTCGTCTCCCTCGCTGCTCCCCTCAGCAGTGTCATTCAGTAAAATCTGCCTGTTCTGCTCCCCACTCTGTCTCTGGTGAATCCTCTCACACCCCACACCTCTAGCCTACACCCCGTTTCATTTCTTCTACACATAAAAATAAATGAACTTTTAAAAAGAACAAAAGGTTATAAAAACTATTTATTTTATGTGTTGAAAGCTGTAAGTCAAAAGCGGAAATCAGACCACATCAAGGCAAACCAGTACTGGCAACACGCAAGGGTTTCCACAGCCCTTTCCATGCAAAAACATCACCAGCTCTTACCACACTTGGGCAGGATGTAGACATCTTTCCATAGTGACAAATACCCCCAAGTCACATTGGCCCCCAAGACTTCAGTGGAATGGGTGCTTGTCACTGGGGGGATCCAGGTCCCACACTGGAGATGGACATTTCTATATAGCAATCATGCTTAATTACCCCCTTGAGATAAAATGCCAAAGATGGACTGGCAGGAGCGTGCCCAGGGCACACTTCAGAGGGTGCTGAAAACATGGCATCGCCAGCAGTTGAGACATGGCTATGACCACGTTCAGCAGCAAGCGATATCTACCTAAGTACTAGAAATGTGCAAAAAAGAAAAGAGAAGTGGTCTCTCTTTCCATTCTGACAGAGCCACTACGCCGCTGCCTGGTTTCTCTGTCACCTCACTGGGACCCAGCGACCTCACTCAACATGGCGGACAAGGGCAACCAGCGAGGACCGAGAGCAACCCCACACCAGACACCGCCTGTACCTCACACGTCCGGACCTATCCTCCCAAAGCCCCTCTGAGCAGTGCTGTCAGCACCTCCAGTGCAGAGGGAGAAGCCGAGGCCCAGGGTCAGGTCTGAGTTATAGGCAGCACTGAATCCAAGCAGGGTACCATGTGCCCAAAGAGTCGGGCTCAGACCCTCTAATTAGAGCTGCACCTGCCTGGTGGGCCACGTGTTCCTTTTAAGGTTGGCTTTTAAAAGATGCACTGTAGGGGCCTTCCCTGGTGGAGCAGTAGTTGAGCACTGGGCTGCGAAGCTGCCCACAGCCTCTGCAGCACCGGTTCGATCCCCAGCTGCTGGCTAGGGTCCCACATGCCGTGCAGACCTCTCCTGCCGCCCGCTGCTCCCCTCAGTAGTGTATTTCTTCGTCAGTCTGCCTGTTCTGTTCCCCACTCTGGCTCTGGTGAATTCTCTCACCCTCCCGCGCTTCTGACTGTACCCAGTGCTTGTATAAATAAATAAATAAATAAATAAATAAATCTTAAAAAAATAAAAAAAGATAAAGGCTGCACTGTGGAATCAAAATCAGAAAAACTCAGGGAAGTTGACAAAAGCCAGCGAAACATCTTAAAGACTGGACATAATGTACTGAGCCTTGGGGTGAACCCCCCAACTCTTGACTTTCATTACACGATCATGCACCGTGTCTTAGGAGAAACTTGGCGACACTAAGGTCAGTCACCTCGGGAGGCCAGAGCAGGCCTGGGTGACAAGCCAGAAGGGACTGATCAGCTGAGTCTAGGCCAAGACACTGAAGCTCACTATTTACAAAATGAAGTACGGAGACAGCCCTTCCATCTGCTGCCCACGTCATGGGAGGGCGTGAAGGCTGAGTACCTAGCACAGCAGTGCAAGCAGAGTAGCAATGACTAAACTGCGGGAGAGCCCAACTACTCCTGAGAGACACAGTAAGGCACCCAACCTTTCCGGATGCTTCCTGCTGCCAGGCCTGGACTCAGCACCCTACCTGCATTAACTCATTGTCACAGCAACCCAAGGAAATACTCTATTAGGCCCAGTTGAGAGACGTGGAAACAGGCTCAGAGAAGTGAAAAGCATTCCCGAGGTCACACGGGCTATAAATGGCAGGCTGGGGACCAGCCTTCAAGCAGTCTCCCCTGAGCCCACGGCTGCTAGAAGACCACCCTATTGTAACTCGAGAGAACAGGTGGAAATAACTGTGGAATCTTTTACAGGATCTATTCAAACTCCTGGATCCTTCTGTGTCCACACCCAGCTGGTCTCCATCCTCAGACCAATGCTGCAGAGCACTCTGGTGAAGCAGCCCAGAGAATCAGGGAACCGAGACAAAAAGTCAGACCCCACAAACAGTACCGAAGCGGGGATCCTGAAGGCAAAACCAAGCATTTATCAAATCCACAAAGCCAGACTACTGGGGAAATTCTATACAGGACGACAGAGAGGAAGCTGTGTCCTTGATTGACCTTGGGCGAGCTCACTCTTCTAAAGGCTAGACTTGATAAACTTTAATGTTTCTCTAGCTCTAAAAATGTTAGACTTCTGAAAGCTGGTTCCAGGTAAACGTTATTCCGATTTCTGGCTTCCTTTCATGCCTCCTAGTTCTCCAAGCTGCTTGGTAACCTCTCTTCTAGGACAAGATGGCTCCTGCTTCCAAGCCCTGTTTGTCCTTCCTTTCACCACCCCAGAGAGCTCACCTCATGCTACACTATGCCCCGATGCCCTAATGGATGGCCTAGTTTCAAGTAGTAAAATGGGCAGCAGCTCAGTACCTAAAACAAAGGGAACGTTATTCTCTTCTTCTTAAACAAAAATATTACCCAGAGTTGAGACATAACTGAGACCCTGAAGCCCCTTTGATGCACGGTGCTCGCTCCCAAGCACAATGCTAAGAGAGCGAGCGCTGTATCTTGTTGACAAGGACAGCAGTCGTGCTCAGCAGTACCATATGGGAGTCACAATTTAGCTCCATTAATGCTCTTAATTTGAAGACATCAAGCCCTAATTACACACTGGGTACTAAAAAGGCAAAACCCTTCCCTGGTGCCAGCTACTTAGTGGTACTCTGTTGCCTTAACAGCTGGCTGAGGTAGAGTCAGGCCAAGCCCAGCCTGTGAGCTCTCTCAGGTGGAAGAGACCAGCTCCCGGGGCTAGCGATCAGGGACAATGCCTCCCTTTGCCTGCCTTGCCACAAAGTGGACTTTTCCCGTTCCCGTAGGCTGCCTCCACCGGGCTCATTCTGCCCTAGACCCGTGAGGTCTGTGAGGGAGGCCAGAGCTAGCTCTAAAGACAAGCTCAAGTTCACGGGCCCAGGGCGGCTCCATCCTGCTCGCGGGAAGAGGCGCGGCGCTCACCTCCTGCTCCAGGGCACCGTGTAACCGGTAGAATTTTAACCTCGCAGCTGCAGATGGCAATGGCCCTGAGTCCGGGGCCCCTGAGAGGCTTGGGAGGGTCTGCACGAAGAGGATGTAGTGGAACTCCACCAGTTCACAACTTGACAAAAAGATAATCATCTTCTGATCCTCTTCAAACTGTGGACGCAAAATGGGAAAACAGTCACACACTCGTAAGATGAGGTGACACTAAAACGAGTGCATCTCTAAAACACATCGTCACGCTGCACCATCTCGGAAACACAGGTAACAGATGGCTTGAGTTATTTTTAAAAATAAAACTGCTACTCCACGCTACAAAGAGCGCAGGAAAGGAAAATGACATCGCCATCACCTTGAAAGTTTCCCCTATCTGAGAAAAAGAAAGGCACTTGGAGAGAAGGGACGGGTCCGCTCTGCCCCAGCACTGGGCTGGGCTCCCCACACTGGGCCACCGGCTCATACTCTGAGGGGCCAGGGCCCTTCCACCTACTGTTCCCCCATACACCAAAGAGCGCATCACAGACTCGAGCACCAGGTCCTTTAAAAAACAAGTGCACAGGCCCATCTGCCTGGCCTCCGCTGCCCACGTGGTGCCAGCAGCAGTCCCAGGGGGCCAGCACGGCTCTAACTCCACACCACGCTGGAAGTGCTCGCTGGGACGACCTTCACGGGCGCACCATACAGTGTGGGAGCAACTCTCTGCCATGTGCCTCCACTCTCCAACCCAGTGTCCGACCCAGAAACAGGCACTTGCCGGGGTCACGAGGGCCAACCTCAAGCCTACCTGGCATTTCTGCAGGATGAAGGCCGCCAGGCAGACGAGCCTGAGTTTGCTGGGAACCAACACCACGTGCTGGTCAAGGCTCACGGGGATTGCAAAGCCGGCCTGCTGGTCCCCAGCCGGTGCAGGACAGGCTGCCGGCATCGCTCTGTCCCCGCAGGTAGATGGGGCGCCGCTGTCATCCTGGACAGAAATACTGACTGGGTCATGCAGACTGATATTGGCCAGCCGGGTGACGCCTGGGATCAAGTGAGAAGGCACAGGAGACATCAGGCACAGATGGAAAGAAACTCCAGAAACTTTTGAGGATGGACTTCCTATTCGAAGTCAGTCCATCCTCCAGCCAGTCCATCCTCACCAGTCTTTCTAAGCTGATGCGCGCAAGACCCTCAAGAGGACACGTGCAGATGCCTGCACCAAAAAGGGCTCCGTGGTCCACAAAGTGCTGAACCCCCCCACTAGCGGGCCTGATGGACACTTCCACGGGCTTGGGGCTTTACTGTGCCGAAGTGCACCGACGTGCACCGACGTGCACCTCTCTCCAAGAGGAGGAGCTAAAGCATGCCATTCCCAAACCCTCTGGGTCACAGCACCCCTCTTCAAGGACTCTCTTATAACGAGTGTCTCTGGGAACACCCCCACAGGCCCGCCGTGGGTCACGGAGCAGCAGCCGGCGTGTGCACAGCGACGTGCCAGTCAACGAGCAGGCCAGCCTCGGACACATGACGCCGCAGCCCGCAGAAGGCGCGCCAGGCAAGGGGGACGCGTGGGCAGCCCTCTTCCGCCCTGCGGCCCCAGCTACAGAACGGACAAAACTGTCCGTCTTGCGAGGGCGGAGAGACAGAAGTGAGCTCAGGCTGTTGCCAAGGGTCACATCTCTTCAGGAAGGGTGAGCACTGCGCTGACGCTGCACCCGGCGAAGCCCCCGTCAGCTGGGTCCCCCGCGCCGCCTCCGGCTCCCGCAGCTCCACGGCCGTCCAACCTCCTGGGCCCACGGGGCTGCTGGGGCTCAGCCCCTCCTCGTCCCCTAAACCTGGTGTGGACACCAGCTCCCGTCTGCCCCTTCTCGCTCTCCCATGCCCTGGGGACACAGCAGGGTCTTGGGAGGCGTCTGGAAAGGCAGTCCCTAGGGATACCCTGGTGGTCTCTCCACACCCCTTGGTGGTCGAGAACCACCGCTGGCAAACGATGCAGGTCAGGCCTTGGACCTAAAGGTCACTTCTTTTCAACTCACCTTCTGTGAGCGTCGCCGACAGCAAGACATTCTGTCGCTTCTGGCACTGGGCATTCAGAGCATTGAGTATCACCGTGACATCCTTTTCAAAACCCAAATCCAAGATTCTGTGGTTTCAAGAGAAGGAATTTTATTCCACGTGTGACATAAACATGCCATGTGGGCCACAAGAGCTGCAAGGAGGGGCAGAAACTGCTCCCTGGATGAGGCTCACCTGTCAGCTTCATCCAGAATCAGCCACTGTATCCGACTAAAATGAATGTTCTTTGTGGATTTTATATGATCCACCAGGCGTCCAGGAGTTGAGATAAGGATATTTATTCCTTTGCGGAGTCTGTTTAAAATCACACATCATAAAAGAAAGTAAATCAAGTGAGGCTGGCCGCCTGGAAAACAGGGACGTGGCAGAGGCAGAACCAAAGCACACGGCTCGGAGCCAGACGCCGCACGGCAACACTGGGCACCAAGGTGGTGTGAGTTCATTTTCCTCTGAAATGTCTCTTCCCCAGAGTGCAACTATCAAGATCTGAAGTTATGTGAAAATCATAAAGCCTTAACGTTGAAAGAAATCCTTATAATCCAATGTCCTTTTCCTCATCCATATTCTTTCAAGAACATTCCAGACAGACGGTCCTCTAGCCTGTTCTTCACAGGCTTTTACCTGAATACATTGTCAGGCCTATATGTTGTCAGAGCCAGAACCTTTTTCTTATACTGAATCCTTTTGCAACTTCTGTGCAATGGACATAGCTCTGTCCATCCCATATGCTCCAAACATCTTTTACCCCATTACTCCACAATAACAATAGTCCCCAATTTTTAACTGAGTATACTTTCCAGGTTCCCATGCAATTAAGAATGGCCATGTGTCTATAGCCCAGCTCCAGGGTGAGTGGATAAAGGGAATACGTAACCCTACAAGTCCTTTAGAGAGAGGAGGTACGATTATCTTTGTCCCTGTTGGCAGGAAATCAGCTACAATGGTGAGAGCTCCAGAAACGATCTAACACTACGAGGTAATCTTAAAAATGGAAGCCTTACTCAGTGGCACAGAAAGATGAAAGGAGGAGCCTGGGTCCATACAATGGAGGACCATGCCAGGCCTGGACAGGCTACTGTCAGGTTTTCAGAATGTAAAATAAAAATAAAACTTCCATATTGTTTGTGCACTGCTCCTTGTTATTGATGGATGAATCTAACCCTAAGAGGTATGTACTCCTCAGTGACAGACTACACACACAGCTGGTGTTACTAACGAGTATTAAGCTATAAGATAATGAATGTGTTTTCAAAAGAAAGCAGCGAATTTTGGATTTACTTGTTGCAATTATTCTTCACTGACAACCATTACCAGTCCTTACAGAATTAGGAATCAATGTATTTGGGTATAAAATGTAAGATGCAAAGCAGCATGTAAGTTTATGATCTTAGTTTTGTAAAATCAAACAAAACAGCATCCCAAATTCAGAATGTATGTAAAAGGAAGTCACCCTGAGATGTCTTCTGAACAGGGGGGCTGCAGGGTGCTGGGGTTTAAAGGTAAAGGGCATTGTCAGTGACCACCCCAGTCCTTGCAGGTTCATCACTGTTTTGAGAAACAGCACTATCAAAAGGTGACCACACCCTGCTGACTCAATCTGGCCCCACACGCTGGGCCTCAGAGGCAGATCTCAGACAAGGCGCTCTCCAGGTGTAGAAGGAGCAAATGGGATCGAGTAGGAAGGCAGGACAAATTCTAAAAAGAATCAACAACAAACCAACCTCCCCCTACCTGGCTTTTTCTGATTTTCTCTTCTCTCCTCCCATCAACACTCCGGGCACAATCCAGGTAAATGGCTAGAGAAAGACATCAGACCAAATTAATGCAAAATCCCCACGCTGAAAACAGAGACGAAGTCTAAGTTCCTTTTCCTTTAAGAAGCTGAGCTTCCCAGGAGGACCCAGGCGCCCACGAAGAGGTGCCACCACACAGACACCACGGCCACCCCAATGTCACCATCAGCATTGACTGAATTACAGTCGCCTAACTAGCCTCCAGCGCAGGGCGAGAAGAAGGTGCCTTTTTAAGTGATTCGGGGAGCTTCTCTGCCTTTCCCCGTGGACCCTGAAGGGAAAACACATTTCAATAAGCCTATTGCTTTTTTTTCTTCCTGGTTAAGAGAAAACCCAAGCACAAGCCTTCCCTGCTCTCTACGCTGGGTAAGAGGAAGATGGATTCTCGATCTAATCTGCTCGGTTGGCAGGCTTGGGCTCTGCCTCCTCTCTCTTCTCACTCAAACACACCCTACCTGCAGCTCTTTAAGTTACTTTGCCCTCGGTCATCTTAAGGTTGCACCTGTGAACCTCTGCATGTGGCTGCTCGTGACGGTGATGAGCAGATTATAGGAGTTTAAGCCCAGGAAACCCGAGTAAGCTAGCTAAGCCAGAAATCAGCCGCTATTAAGGTTTGATCAGATCGTACTGGGAAGAGCAGAGACATCCGGGGTAGAGGGAAATGACAGTAATGTCTTGCTCTTTGAAAATAAAGACAAGACAGTGGTATATTTCTTTCCTTAAAAGTCAGAAAAAAACACAAAACTGAACTTATGGCTTGCCTTACCTTCAGCAGCTTCTGGACAGTGTCAAAGCTTTGGAGAGCCAGCTGTAAATATTAAAGTTACAGATCATGAGCAAAGTCCTTTCTTCTCTTTAGATTTTTTTCACTTAGACAATGGAAAGTGCTTAGGATCCAAATGTGGATCTCACCTAGATTTAAGAAACAAAAAATCCTATACACAGAATCTACGGGAAAAATCCTATTTGGGGAGTGCGGGCAGAAGCATCACATTCATTTCCTGACAGGCACAAAAATAGTGTTTTGTGCTCCCTCTGCTGGCTCAAATTCCCAGAGAGCCACACTGACAAAAATGGAAGAAAAGGAAACAAAGTCGACCTGAATTTGGCTCTTAGAAAGAGAAAGAACAGAAAAGCTCAAGGGATAAACTGGAACAGTGACACGACAGGTTCACCTTTGGGGACGTAGCTGTAAAGGTGTAGAGACAGCATCCTCGGAACATGCAAGAGAGGAGCAGGGCAGAATGTGAGGGGGCCGCTCCCCGTGCTTACTAAGGGAAACACCCGAACCCACAAGCCAGTGGAAACCAGAGAAAGTGAAAATTCGGTGGAGGTTAAAACTCTCAACCACTATGACAAAAGCTCGCACGCAGCCCTTCACACACGGAGATGCACAGACTCCACGTGCGTCGTATTCACGCAGCATCCCAGGAGGTGGCAAGTTTGCCGCCGTAAACACCCCCAAAGCCTGGATGCCCCCCCCACTGGGCTGAGCTGAGAGGGCACCACAGGGGCTGAGCTGCAATGCCCGTGGCCATGATCAATTCTTGGTAAGGGGAGAGATAAGCACTTGCTGTAGGAAACAGCATCATCTGGAATTGCCTCCAGGGGCAGATAAAATCAGATAGAAGAGACCCACCAAGAGAGAAGCTTAACTTAAAAATTTTAAGCTTAAGTTTAAAGTTGCTGGTATAGCGGCGTGTTAAAAAAACATCGAAAAGTCCATTTTGGATTAGGTCTCATTCATTTTTCATTAAGCTGAGCAACAAAAAGTACAAAGTATAACTTTAATTACACAATATTATACCTCATGTCACAAAACATAAAAGGTGAAACCACTTTTAAGTTCAATAGAAGGTTACCAGAGGCACTTGCTTAAAATTGTCCCAAAAGCGCTTACCTCTCTCGTGGGCACCAGCACCAGGGCGTAGGGGCCATCGCTGCGCTGGAGACACAGAAGGAGAAAGGTGCTGTGAGTGAGTTGAGCAAGGTCAGCAGAAGGCAAGTCAGGACAGCCACCCGCAAAGGCTCAGATGCAAGCCCACAGGCAAAGGGAGGACATGCAGCCCCTCACCGTGGTGGAGCGCGGCCCTAGGGACTCTGGCCCGGGCAATCGGACAAGAGAAAGAAGCACATGGAAACCTGGAGAGAAGGGGCCACAGCCTCGCTACCAGAGAGCATTTTATACTGGGCGGGGGAGAACCTTAAAAAAATCAATTAAAAATCTGTTACTAAAGATAATTTAGTCAAATAGCTGAATGCAAAATTAATCCTGAAAAATCAATAGGCTTCCATCATGGAACGTTAGAAAATAGATTGGAGCACTTACAATACCAACAAAAAGTTATAAAGAATAAACCTTATAAAATGTGTATGACAAAAATTTTAAAACATCTCTGAAGGACATAAAATAATATTTGAACAGAAAGATGTATCTTGCACTTGGATAAGAAGACTTGGCATTATAGTAAAGCTAATTACTCTTAAGCCAATTCATAAATATAATGCAATTTTTTTAAAAAATGCCACAAATACATCTATATGTATACGCAAAATATATAGTATCAGGCAAACTGATTTCCAAGCTTATATGAAATGTAAATGTGCGAGAATAACCAAGACATTTCTGAAAACATGTTAAAACAGTTAAAAGTAAAAGTGTCAATAACTTGAAATGAAAAACATCTTTTGATACCAGCACATGGAGATGACAATAGTCAACGGAGTACAGAACAATCAAATACATACAGAAATTTAGGGAAGAAAATAAGGACCATTTTATATTAGTAGGGAAGATGGATTATTCAAAAGTCCTTTTAGGAAAAATAAATTCAGAAAAATAAAATCAGAATTACGCTGGCTTTTCTATAGATGGCATAAAACTCAAAAACAACAAAATACTGATTAATTTTATTAAACAAAAGATACAATTTTCAGAATGGAAAAGAAACATCGTTTTAAACAACATCAAGAGCTAAAGGACAAAGTGGGGGGGAAACAGGCCACACAAAACGAAGGGCCAGGTCCCTGAGCTCACACGGAGGCCTACACTTCAATTACAAAATAGAAATTGAAAGACAACAACTCAGATAGAAAGATGGGAAAATAGGCAACGTACAGAGAAATGCAAAATGTGACTTGTACACACATGAAGATGCTTAATTTTACTTCCAAGAGACATTCAAATTGAAACTACAACACGCCAACCTTCCCCTGTCCGGAGGGCCAAACCCCATGGCTGACTGCGCGAGCGAGGGCGTGGGCAGGCAGGAACGCTGCATTGCTGGTGGGTGTGCAAACTGGTAAGATCCCTTTAAGGTCACTTTTGGCATTATCCACCCAATGAAAAGGCACATTCCATTCATGGTGATTTCTCTCAAAGTCACACGCACAGGCGGGCATGAAGAGCTAAGCATAAGATGCCTTTTATAGATTGCAGATAGAACAGCAAAATACTGGCCACAATGTAAACCCCACCCAAGAGGGTCAGGCCCGGACAGAAGCGCGTGCAGGTGAGCACCAGGCAGCCAGCGAGCAGAGGGCAGGTGAGGCCGGCACCGAGCTGAAACTGACCCGGAAGACACTAGGTGTGCGAGAGAAAACATCACCCCTGACAAGCAGCCATTTCCACGTCAAACCAAATGAAGGAGAATCTGAAATTATGGGGGTCAGGGACCCTGCATACTCACATTTGCTTTACGTGAAAATAATATCCCTGGAGGCCAGACAAGGGCCAGGGCACCCTGAGGGAGGCTGGGCCCCTGGGGGCGGGGTGGGAGAATGACTTATTCTCGGGACTCTCCTGGATCAGAAAGTTGTAACAGTACTAACAACAACCAGCAAAGGAAACAAAGTAACCTGCTAAAGGCCTGAAGTGGGGCGTCCTGTCCCCAAGTGCTCAGGCCCCTGAAGGAAGCACAAGGACGCCAGGGCAGAAGCCAGGGCCCCCCTGGCTGCAGATTCAATTACAGGTCGGGTTTTCACAGGAGACATTTACCCACCAGGAGAAAAGGATTTGGAATTCAAGCTGGAGTCGCGGAGCCCAATATCAGCTTTGTGAGGCTGAGCTGAAGCCCGGGGAGGAACAGTAAACATGTCAGTACAGCATTCCGGCACCGCACTAGGAGGTTCTGACATTTCAAACGGTGTTACTACACAGCGGAGAAGAAAGCAAATCAGTTCCTCGCAGGCAGAGCGAGTGAAGAGGATGGATGTGATGATAAAAAATCAGAGCCAAAATAACAGAGGCAGCGGAAACACAGAAGACACCTGTTCCCGTCCACCCTAGAGTAATTTAAGACTGCTGGGCGCCTCGAATGCGCTGCTCCCTCCACGAGCGCTTCTTCTCAGGTCAAATCACTTTACGATCACCTGGACGGGTCTACACTGAGTATTAGTTTAAATAAGTGAATATAATCCGGGCGTGGAAAAACGGTTCCACAGACTATTTCAATCTTCAAAAGGATGAGCTATTACTGACATTAAGAAGTGTTTGAGCAAATAAAAGCAACTCCATTATGGCTGAGGTTCTGGATATGGCAACGAATCCATCAGCAGCCCTTCACACTAGCATGTGGCGGGCGGATGCCGGTGCCAGGTCACAGGAGATGAGCTGGTGCCCCTCCAGGTGCCACTTCCCTGCTGTCAACCCTCACTCAGGGGCTCACTCGGGGCTCACTCAGTCTTCTTGGTGGTGTGGGAGCTGGGCACTCGCGACACAGTGGAGGGAGCGGCGCAGGGGATGAAGTGATTCACCAAAGTCCACGGAGGCCAGGGTGGGAGCAGAGCGCCCCGCCCTGGCCATGAGCTCGCCTCGCTCACCCCCAGCCAGGATCTACAAACACGCGGCCAGGCCACAGCCCACAACCGTTTCACTCCAATCTCCCCAAACTCCCACTTCGCACGAGACAGAGACCTTTACTAGCAGAGGGTCTCCTGGAGCAGAGGAACGACACTTCACCACATTATCATTTTCTCTCCTTTACCTGTAGGAATTACCTCCCTGTGAAGTGCCTAAAGGCAAGAAAAATATCAGCCACCTGGAGGAAATAAAATTCCTCACTTATCTTCCTCAGAGAAAACCAGCATTAGTAGTTTGATCAATATCTCTGCCATCTCTGCATGCTTACACACACACACACACACACACACACACACACACACACACACACACACGGACGATTCATGGCGTGGAGTCACATCATCTACACTGCTTGGTAACCCTCCTTTCAATCCACAGCAACAGAGAACAAATGGTAAATTGAAAAATGTCACTTTTAATGGCTATGCAGGAGTCCATCATTTGGATGATTGTTTTTTTTTTATTAATTCAAAATTATTTAAAGTTAAATAACTTCCAACTTACATAAAGTTGGACGAAGAGTACGAAGAGCCCCCTGGCCCTCCCGGCGCCTCTGCATGGTGTGGGCTCTCAAAACCACAGGCCAGTGAGCCAGGCCGGGAAATCAACACAGACGCGACACTACAACTACAGATCTGATTCGAATCCCACTCACTGACCTGCCGCGGCCCCTCTTCAGCGCAGGACCGAGGGAGGTCCTCATGCCGCAGGGAGCTGGCACCACCCTTCACCTCTGTGAGTCTGGGGGCCCTTCGCAGTTGCCCTTTGTGACCCTGTGCTTTTGGAGAGCACTGGCCAGTTACTCAGTGCTGAAGGTCCCGGAACCCAGGCCTACCTGATGTTCACTTGTGATTAAATTCAAGTTACACAGTTTGGCAAGGAAACCGTGGAGGTGACGCTATCTGCCCCGCGCGCGCCCTCCCTGCCAGCACACAAGGGCCATGTGTCTCGTACTGGGGGCACCAACTCTGATCCCTGGGTGAAGGCGGTGAGAGCCAGGCTCCCCAGTGCGAAGGTGCTGCTTCTGCCTCCATGGTTAAGAGGCACTGTGTGGGCAGCATCCATGAGGCTGTGTAAATACCCCTTCTCATCACACTTCCACGCCTGTGACGGCTCACGCCTGACCGCAGCACTGCAGCCCGTGCCATGTGCGGGAGTTCCAGGTCCCTCACTCCTGGCCCGACCAACAGGGCTTCTACCACACGAAGGGCTTTCTCTTCTCCCCACGCGGTTGCTTACTAACTCACTTCCATCAGCCTGCACACACGGAGGCGGTTTCAGTCTGCGGGCACTGACCCAATACTGTCATAACCGTCCCGTCGCCTGAGTGCCTGGCAGGCCTGGCACACTTCTGACTCTAGGTGCTCCCGTGCAGTCATTAGCTCATGTTGTCTGTTCTGGACACCAATCTCACTTCCTATTTCCGACCCCACCATTTCCTCTCAGCTGAGAATAACCAGGGCTGCATGTATTTGTGGGGCTCCGGGCTGGGTTCTGAGGTGATGTCTACAGAACACCGCAACTAACAGGGTCCCTAGCTCCCAGAGGACACGCGGGCTGCAATTCTGCCCCCCTGGTCCAGGCACGAACTAAATGCTTCACAACCAAAGATGGATGCTACACACGAGGCACAGAGCCGGCAGGCTCCCCAGCCGGGCCCATTCTGCAGCAGAGCACGCTGCTGGAAACACGACGCTCGGCCCTCCTCGCCGGTGCACGAGGAAGCTCGGTCTCTGGAGCCAAACAGAAGCGGGGAGGAACCCAGTTCCACAGCCATCACGAGCTCCTTAACTTCCCCAAACCTCCATTTTGGGGCCTACGGGGGCAAAGAGGCGGGAAGGATTCAGGAAGGTCGCAGGCACAGCCCACAGCGCAGTGTCCATCCCACTCCAGACGGCCTTTCCCGAGATGCAACGTGCGCAAGAAACACGCGCATTACAGAGGTGAGAAGGCCGTGCTGAGTGAAAAGGGACTCGATGTCCACTCGCTCCCTGCTCCACTGTGCAGCTGGGTGACGCACCATGCACAGCAACAGAAGCGCCTCATACTCACTTGTATCTTTGCTTTCATTGCTTGAAGGGACTGGACCACAGGGATGCAATACGCAAGAGTTTTACCTTTTAAAAAAGTACAAAAGCAATTAAAATGACAGCCTCTGTAGCCGGAAGAAAGCAGGGAGGGAAGGGAGGGACTCCACGACCTCGGGAGGCGCCGGTTTCGGGAGGGAAGGCAAGTGCGCTCACATGTCCGAGGGGGAAAAGGATTCACCTGCCCGCCACTACGCAGTTTTGCTCTGCAAATTCAGCTCTAGTAGGAAACCTGCAGCCTCAGTCCCTTTAGCCACCTAGGAAGGGAGTCATGACCCACCTCCCAGATGACATAAAAGCTCAACCTGATAACTGTCTCTAGAAGCCAGAAAATTCCTTCTCGGAAGTCGCCCTTAACCTCTCAAATGAGCTTCAGCAGTCAGGGACGTGTCCTCTGTGCTGCTACCGTGAGCAGGAGTCGGTCTGAAGCCCGTGTAGCCGCTGAAGGCCAAGGATAAACCAGAACTTCAGGCTGCCATGCTGTGAGTGTTGGCCGGCTGAGGCAGGGAGCAGCGCTGACTCCCACTGAGGGTGTACGGCGGTCGCAAAGCAAGTCCAGACTACTCTGGAGCGTGACAAAAACAGCGTTCCATGTCCAAGCCAAATGCCTGGCCTCGGATCAGAGTGCCCAGTCAGAGCTGTATTTTGATACAGAAGGTACACGCCCTTCCCCAGCCGGAAGGAGGGGGGGCAGGTCAGTCCTAGGGGCGGGGCGGGGCAAAGCAGGAGACAGGAGGCTGCCTCCAAGGAATGAGCGTAGGCCTTGACTATACTCCCTGTCCGGCTCTATCCCCTACGCCCTCCTCTCCCTGGTGAACAAGGGTGCGCTCACTAAAAGCAGGCAACTAAAAGCAGGCACGGCTTTCCCTCCCCCCACCAAAACAAAGCGGCCCCCACAGACACAGCGCACACTGACCTGAGCCCGTCTGGGACCTCACCAGGGCATCTCGACCTCCCAGCAACACGGGGATGCTCTGCTTCTGCACACTTGTGCCGGCAAAAGAAAGAAAACACATTTATCTATATCGCTTGCCTGCCCCCCGCCCCCCCACCCCAACCAGCCTGCACAGAATGCAAAGGCCCCGCACTCTGGTCTATCAGCTGCCACAGAGACGAGGTCTCAACATTCAAGTGACGGTGCTGAGAGACTTTGACAAGTGGAAGAATAAAATCTCTGTTAGATTCTGGAACTTAAGCTAATTAAACTAATTAAGAGAAAAAACAAAACAGGCTGAGGGCAACCTGGAGCTACCAGGAAAGCACGCCGCAGCCCCAGCTCTGTAAGAGGGACGCGACACACCCGCCGTGAGGCAAGAGCCCCGCACACAGGAGCCAGAGGCAGGCAGGAGCTGTGGAGCTGGGCTGGAGCGGCTCTCTTCTCCAGAAAACCAGGACTGGGTTGCCATGCACGCACCAAGCTGTGCGTGGACCCACAACCACTAGCGCAGCGGTGAGGGTCCTTGTTTCACTCACTATTCCTATCAGCTGCGCTCCAGGTACGCAGCAGCTGCTGCTGGCACGCAGCAGCACGTTCTCTAGAGGAGGAAGGCCGCCTCGCACCACACTCTGTGCTCCACGGTACATAACTTTTCAGCGCTCGCTACACCCGCGGGGTACCCACTCCTGCCTGCTAGGGGAACTCTAAATTCTGACTGCTAAGAAATGGGATGATGAATTCTCTATTCCGGCAAGCTACTTGCCAGCAAGCACGGCTAGCAGTGGGAGCCTATGGGTACCGAGAGCAGCTCAGGAACCAGAGAGAGGTACGGCTTCGGGCTGAGAGCAGGGCTCCCGGCCTCTCCTTTTAAAAGCCAGGTTTGCCGAGAAGCTCAGGGACAGTCGAGTCCTCATGGCCAACAGCGGGGCCCTGCTTGCCAGTGCCAAGACAACATGGGCTCTGTCCCACACGGCTGTTCAGATCCCTCCTGCTTACACCTGCTTAACAGAATCCAAACTGGCCTGGAACGCCTACCTGGTCATACTGGACATTTTTAAGACCGTATTTATCGTGGAAATCTAAAAGAGAAAACAAAAAATTCTTTCCTTTATCATCTTTTTGGTACAAATATGTTTAATGCAAATAAAGATGCAAAAAGGGGCAAACTACTGGGATGAAATTGATTAGCATCATCAAATCAAGTTCCTCCAACCCAGGGGTTCGCAGCTGGGGGTGGTCCTACCGCCCAGCCCCAGGACATGCGGCAAAAGTCTGGAGAAACCGCTGGGAGTCGCCACCGGGGGCGCAGATGCCACTGGCACCAAGTGAGAGGCACAGACATGGCTACAACCTCCAGTGCACAGGGGGGCGGAGGCACCCACCCCCGTGTGCACAACACCGAGGCTGAGAAACGCTGCTCAAGCCGGAGGTGAGAAAACAAGCTTCAGCAACCCAGCCCCAAGGAGTAGGTAAGCGATGATGGCACGAACAAAGGAAATCCAGACGCCCCAAAAGCGAATGTATTTTCCTCTCCTTACTAATCGTTAAGCCTGGAAAGCTCGTTGGTGACGAACGCACAGGTGTCCATCTGTCTGTGAGGGCGGCGTGTTAACAAAAGCCGCCTCCTGCTTCCCGTCTCTCTAGCTGCTCTGCCCCTTCGCGGCAGACACCAGCTCGGTTTCCTCACTGCGCTGCTGTCGCATCTGCCACTCAGCACAGCCTCGGTGTCACCTCTCTCCAGTGACGAGGAGGCTGTCCCAAAATATATTCAGTGAGGAAAGTGTTTCCATCTTTTAAAAATGGGTGGGGGGGAACCACGGGTAAGAGCACGGGACAGCAGGTAGCGTAAGCCTGCGCGCGCCCTGCAGAAGTTTCTCGGCCATCTCAGTTCATCCCGGCAACTTGGAACAGGAATAACCATGCTTTGATTTTTCTAGCTAGACTGGCGCTTCATAGACATACGGAATGAGTCAACACCCCCCAAAACAGGCTGCCGACCGGAGATACTCACTAAGTGTGGGTGGAGGTCCAGTTCGTGGAAGGCATCCGAAGTAAACACCTCCTCCTGCACCTGTGTGACCGCAGGTCTGCAAAGCATGAACACCCCCAGGCGTCAGGTGCGACCGACAGGGAAAAGGGCACCCGGTCTACACGTGATCCCTTTCGTTCCGACGAGGGTCTGCCCCCGGACATACCTGTCGAGTTCAGGGATTTCGGGGTTGTTCTTAAACAGAGATGAGGTCTTAACGCCGGCTCTCTGCTCGTGGCTTCTAGCACCCGCGCTGCCTGGAGGCTGCTGCTGACAAGATGCGCCCGGTGCCTCTCCCTTCAAGGTCTTCCGCGCCCCCCTAGCAGCGGCATTCCCGGCAGGCAGAGACCACGCCTGGCTCCTCCGCTTCGCTGGGGGAGCCTCACTGGATGCCTGGCATCTTCTCTTGGTGGCCTTTGCTGGCTGCATCATCCCCGAAAGGAAATAGCAACAAGAGGTGCATCAGCCCATGAAGACAGCGCCAGGAGCGGAGCCTGGCTGCGCAGAGAACCGCATCTCCCCGCAGGGATCATCAGGCCCAGATGCCACGCAGCACTTGAGGGTCTGCAAGCAGAGTCTCTGACTGGCTTTTCCAAAACCCAAACAAAGGACCCCACAAAATCCCAGCTCCTCCTCTACCAGACCTCACCATCCAGCTTAACTAGCAGCTCCGCCAAGAGGAGGGTGAGGATCAAGAAGGGAGAAACATTATTCGGGTTCCATGTGAACAAACGGAGCCTGCTCCTAGGGAAGAGAGGCTGCCTGGTGGCGGGTGCCCCGAGTCAGCCCGCGGGCCTGGCAGCCCACGGACCCGAGAAGAACAAGGGGAAATAAATCTTGCTCCCGACAGACCCCACGGGTGACTACACCCGGGAGGCAGATATGCCCAGGAAGCGGAAATGCTCATTACCGCTCTGCCTCAGAGAGCTGGGAGCGCTGTCACGCCCCCTCAAGCTGCTCCCCCAGATTCACATGGCCGGGAGACAACCGCTCCTGGCCGTTTCCATTCCAAATGAGAATTCTGCTCCATCCATCACTTCCATTGCCATGATTTCCAGCCCTCCTTGCCTTGCAATCCCTGCCTGATGGGCAATCCGGCAACCGCAGACTACAAGGCTGGTACCTTCTCGCCTGTTGCTTCTTATTTCCAGAACATGAACGTGGTAAAGCGCCTCAGGTCCAAACTTCCCCCGGGAGATATAGCCCCTTCCTCTACCTGCTTTGGCCCTCTCTCCCCCCAGCACGAGAATACAGAAACATCTGGCAGCAGCCAGGGCTTGTTACGCTGAGTTGTGGCTTCTCCCGGAATACGAAACGGCGGTGGCTCCCGGGCTTCCACATCAGCACCAGCAGGTCGGACCCACCTCCAGGCACAAGGCCTCTGCTCCTGGCTGCCACCAGAATCCCCACAGCTGAGCGACTCAACAAATAAAGCTTCAAGTATTTAGTATTACCCAAGAGAGCACTAACCAATCGCATCTTACAAATGTCTTTTTTACAAAGTCCCGGGTTCATGAGTTTTCCGACTGAGGAAGAGACGAGGTGGTGCTCAGGTCTGCCAAACCACTTGCAAGACGGAGGGAAATGCGCCATCGGACCTGACTTACAGGACCCCGGACTCTGGGGCTGAAAAGGCCAAAGGCTACTCCCACCACACAGGGGTTTCCCATCACAGGCTCCCCCCCTCCCCCAGGGGCCCGCAACTGCTGTCGGCACAACCTCCTCCTGTTCTCCATTGCTCAAGGCAGTCCATTCTGGTCTTGACCAAATTCTAGAAGCTGGGGAGCTGTTTCTGACATTCAGGCAAGATCTACTTGCTGGAACGCCCACCCACTAGTCTGAGGCTTGCTTCTGCAGCAACACAAACTCACTTCCTCTCCTATGGATGCTCCTCATTCATAAAGCAATGCTTTCCCTCCTCCTTCCTCGGATTAAGTATTCCGACAGGACACAAACTCTAGATCCCTCATCATCCTGGTCACTCCATGCCCATGTCAACTTCTTTTAAAAGCAAGTACTAGAGTCCAGCGCAGTATTAGACAGGTTTTCTGCTGCTCTCAGGTTGAAACCCACTCTGTGCTGCAGAGCCCTCCAGAATCTGGCTGCGTTCCGCCTCAGCCTCGGCGTCACCTCTGCCCTCCTGGTCTTTACTTCCTGGAAAGCCCCTCTGTGCCCACCTCAGCGCCTTTGCACAAGTAGTCCCCACACCCCAGCCCCAGCCCCCACGTCGGCTGGCTGACTCGGACTCATCCTTCACAGCGAGACTTGGTGGCTCAGAAGAGCCTTCCCTGACCTCTCCCCCGGCAAGGAGGCTCCCCTCCTGGCTCTCCCACGCCCTTCTCCTCCGCAGCACTCAGTACAAACACAGGCACAACGTGGAAGTCATCACAGAGTGTCTGTCTTTCCCATTAGAAAGAAGCTCCACCAAGGAGCGGCCGTCTGCCCAGCACTGCACTGCAGCCCTCCCCGTGGGGCCGGCGTCTGCACAAAGTAAGTGCTCGTGAAATACCTGTAAGGTGACTAAATGACACACAATGGAAGTATCGCTCCCCGTGACCAGGACACCAGTCTGGTACCTGTTGGTTGGTTGTGCCCCCCACCCACACACCCCTCATGCCATCCTTAACAGCTCTCCAGCGGTCTGGCTGTGACGTCACGGAGCTGAGCGACGGGCACGCCCTTGAGGAGGCCACAGAACAGAGACACGATGTACAGCCGGAATCCAAGGCTCCGTCTGTACAGAGAAGAGGCAGGGCGCGGGGTTGCGGGAGCACAAGCTAGAGAAGAAACGCCACTGTGGCCTGCAGGGTTAAGGGGGGCAGAGCCGGGAGGGTGGCCCACAGTGGGCATCCGGGTCTTCTCAGAGTCAGCTGCACGACGTTACGCAAGGCCCGTCCCTCTGACTTGCTCCCATGCCTGTAACCGAGGGGACGACAGCAGGTGACCTCTAGGGCCCTAAGGGACTCGGGAGTCTGGGCGCCGGTCTCTGGTGTTGAGGAAGACTTCGAGCAGGCACTCCACGCCAGGAGGAGGCTAAGTCCTCACAGGTCCTGGAGTCACGCCACTTGACAAGCGTTTCAGACGGGAACACTGAGGCCGAGTCTGAGGCCATCTCCGGGCTCCGCCCAGGCTCCGACTCCGCAGCCAGGGCCTGACAATAACACTGTGGGCTCTAGAGCTGTTCTCTGGGAGGGAAAGCCACCAGAATGTCAACCGTCATCCCTGAGTATGGCTCTTATGGGTGAGTTTTTTAAGACTGCCTTCTGAACTTCCTGAAAGAAGTTTGTATGAACTTACTAATGCAAAAACCTTTCTAGAAAGAAAACATTCTGCACAGCATTCAAGTCAGCACCATCTAAGCCATGACGGTCTGTCCAAGTCCAGCATATTACCCCCTGGCTCCTGGCAACTTTGCTCAGCATACCCCCGATTCTCCACGCCACAGTCAAAAAAGTATCTGCACACGAGGCCGCGGCACTTGGCAGCACCACCACATCTCTGATACCCTCTGTCACAGGGGCTCGGCTGGCACACAGGCGCCCCGGGTGTCTCTTCCACTCAGGCAGCAGTGTTAGTGAGCACCTCTCCACACACACAAGCACCCCCAACGCAGCAACTCCATTACCCGAAATGGAGTCAATAGGACTTCACTTATTCTTTACCACTGGCCTTTCCTAACTGCCCTATGGGCCAGAAAACATAGTCTATGCATATTTTCACGCTCTCTTTATTATAACCTTAGAAAAAGTATAATTGATTGACCCCGTTTCACGAACAAGAATAGTAAGGATCAGAGAGGTGAAGTAACTTCCCGAAGGTGACAGAGCAGGGCTGGCCTCTAATCCCAGCGCTCTCCTCCTCCAAACCCCACCTGCCCAGAGGCTCCCACATCCCCTTCCACCCCACCCCACCCCCAAAATGCAGCCACAGCACTGGCTGCCAGAAACGCCTTAGTCCCAACCTCCGACTCCTACAGCTAATTATCAGCAAAGAAGCCAAGGAGAGAGTCCAGGCGTGGGTGTCAGCCGACCTGACCTCCAACCTCAGCTCAGTACACTCGCTGGCTAAACCGAACGGCCTGGGCCTTGGCAACAGATTTTTCCACGGGATCATGTGTTGCCTTCGAGAGGAAACGCACAAATCTTCCCTGGCCTGAGACGGTACTCCCAGTCGATGCAACTTGTGGTTTTAGGAGACTTTCACCCCTGCAGCCTCTTTTTCTAGGAGCAAACCAGGCATCCCCGCGAGCGGGCTTTCGGCTCAGGCTTGGGGGTCAGTGTAGGCCTCACCCCCCTCCCTGGGAGGGGGCGCCACCGAGGAGCGGCATTTTCTTCCCCATCACGCACGGAAGCCTCTGAAAGACGCGTCCAGACTCTCCGGCGTCGTCGTCCCCGACACAAGGGCGCTCGCGGCGCGGAAACGGGCCGCGAGGCTGAGGGACGTGGCGGGCCGAGGCCGGACCCACCCAGGGCAGCGCCCACCGCCACGGGCAAGGCCCCCCGCCCCCCTGCGCCCCCGCGGCCCGCTCCGCTCCCCCCGGGCGCGCGGGGAGGGCCCCCGCCCCGACACGTGCTCCTCCGCGGCGCCTCAGACGCGGGCCCGGCGCGGCCTCGCCGCCTCCCCGCGCGCTCGCGGGCCCCGCCGCGGCCAGGGGCAGGCCGCGCCGGGCCGGGGTCCGCACTCACCCGCCTCGCCGGGGCCCGGCGGGGTCTGGAGGCGGCGGCGCGCGGCTCGGGGAGCAGCGCCCCGTCGGCGGCGGCCATGGCGGCTGAGGCGCGGGCGCACGCGGGGCCCGGGACGGGGCACCGGCGCCGGCTCGGCGCGAGGACCCCGCGGGGGCCCGGGCCGGGGCCGCGAAGGACACGCGTCCCCGCCGGCGACGCTGCCTGAACGGCGCGGGGCCGCGCGCCCTGCTCCCCGCGGGCGGCGTCCCCAAGCCCGACGCGCAGCGCCGGGGCCGGAGCCGGGTCCCAGCAGCGGGGCGCCTCGGGGCCCGCCCGCCCAGGAGGCGCGTTTTCCAGACAGGCAGCGCCGCGGCCACCCGGCAGGGCCGGGTCGCCTAGCAACGCGGGGTCCTTCCTGGCTCGGCGGCGCTTCGGGCTGCGGCGAGAGCACCGCCGCGGAGGGCGCGGGGGCCGGCGGGCGGCGGGCGGCGGCGGCACGGCGACGCGGGCTTGGCGCGCCCGGGGGTCCGACCTCCGCCTCTGAGGGGAGATGAGCGCGGCCGACAAGGCCTGGGGGGGCCCCGCGGGCGACAGGCCCGCGCCGCCCGAGGAGGGGGGCGGCGAGGCGGGCGGGAAAGAGGCGGACGCGGCCCCCGGGCCCAGCGCCGCGTTCCGCCTGCTGGTGACTCGGCGGGAGCCGGCCGTGAAGCTGCAGCACCCCGTGAGCGGCCTGGAGCCGCTCGCCTGGTCCGAGGACCACCGCGTGTCCGTGTCCACGGCCCGCAGCGTCGCGGTGCTGGAGCTCATCTGCGATGTGCACAACCCCGGCCAGGACCTGGTCATCCACCGCACCTCGGTGCCCGCCCCCCTCAACAGCTGCCTCCTCAAAGTAAGTCGGCCCCGCGCCCCTCCTCGGGGTCTGCGCTCGGCTCGCGCCGCGGCGGCGGCCCCGGCCCCCGGGGAATCCCAGCCCCGCGTCTCGTCCCGGGATCCCCGCCTCGCACCCCGCGCCAGGAGCTGGGAAAGGAGAGTCGCCGCGGCTGGAATGCAAACAAAAAGCCTCGCAGCTGTTTGGGTCCAGTCTCCTGGATCCCCCACGCCCCCCTCGCGAGAGGGGACACCACACACGCGCGCGCACACACACACACACACACAATCTGTGTCTTGGGAGGTTCATAAGGACCCTGGTCCTCCTCTGGCGGGTGCGTCTGGCCTGTTACCGGCGCAGATCACCCTTGGTCTCGCCTTCCGAGACTCCACCCCTTCTTGACCCAACCCCAGACCTGCCTGTACCGCTGCTCCCATTGTCTGGGGCTGACTCCCCGAGGCCCTTGGCTGGCTTTGTTTACGCTGCTGCGCCCTCCTCTTATGCCTCTTTCACTCCGGAGAAGAAAAAGTGATCCTCCCATTGTCTTAACAGTTTCAGCGACTGTATTATAAATGGTTCTTGCTTCGCACCCTGGGCAGAGGGGAAGCTACCGGACCTCAGCGTTTGCTTTCCAGTTTTTCCTTAATGGCAAGGAATTGGGATGGAGGAGAGGGGTGGAGTTTGGAAATAAATGCAGTTCTTAAAGGTCAAGTCCAAGTCGCTGTACATTGAGTGCTTTCAGCTTCATGTAAACTGTTTGCGGTCCGAACTTTAGGGCTCCGACGATTTTACTGTTTTAATAATCACCATTTTCAAAATCACTGAAAAGCAGCAGTGAGTCAGGTATTTCATTTTAGTGGCTTAGAAGTAGAAAAGTTTTCTCTATCTCCTTTGTGGATCTGTGTGCACTTATGTGGTCTATCAAAGTGTAGTCTGTGTGCAAGGGGCTGCTGTAGGTTTTGGAAATAAAGCTGTGTTGAAACAAAGTCCCCACCCTCACAGAACTTACAGTGGACAAATAACAATGTAAACATCATGCGGTGAGACACACTGAAAAGATATGTATCTATACACAGAGAAGTATCTTCTGTGTTAAAGTAGGGAAGTATCCATGTTAAAGTGTTGTGGGTTTTTTTTTTTAAGATTTATTTATTTATGCATTCAAGAGCTGGGGTACAAGCCAGAGTTGGGGGGGTGTGAGAGGATCCACCAGAGACAGAGTGGGGAACAGAACAGGCAGATTGACCGAAGTACTTGCTGAGGGGAGCAGCGGGTGAGAGAGGAGAGGTCTGCTGTGCCATGTGGGTTGCTCCCTGGCTGGCCAGGGATCAAACTCGTGTTGCAGAGGCTGCGGATTGCCTCATAGTGCGGTGCTTAACCCCTTGCACCACCAGGGAGGCCCAAAGTAAGTGTTTTCTTTAACTGTTAACTGTAACTCTGCACAAAGTAGATAGGGGGCGGGGAGCCCAGCCACTTTATGGCATACTTAATTCCAGTTTTATACAGACAACTGTTGAATTAGATCATTGGTGAACTTGTATGACTAAGGCCTCCAAGATCCTGGAGAAGATATGAACAAATCGCTTCAAGTATAAACAAGTCAGGGGGACAGATGTAGGTGATGCTATGAAATTAAAAATCACTCAAGAAAAATGGGAGTTTTAAAAGGTGTATCCTCTGCTGAAAAGGAACTTGCTGTTTCTGGAGTGTTCATGCGCACATAGAGTGAAGTCCAAGTGTTAGGGGGAAAGGGTGTCCTGAGCAAACTCCATGCAGGCTTTGTGGGCTGCACCCCCACTCCATCAAGACACTGGGAACTACACATCCCACGATCCCCAAAGGGAGGGTTGCGAGGACCTGAGGGCAGAGTTAAGCAAAGATGTTCTCTGAGTATATAACCAGCCAAGTGGCCTGGGGTCGTCACCTTGGCCACATGGCGTGCTCGGTTTTTCACCAGCTCATTGGGATTCCAGGTCCGCAGAACAGGTAGGACGCATTTACGAACTTATCTCCCTCTTTTTCTCCCTGAGTTATTCATTTCCCCAGTTCCCCTTCCCTTGTAAATAAACCTTTTATCCACTTTTTGTGTGTGTCTGCAGTTTAGCATTAAGTCCCCTTTAAGCTGGCGGGTGAGGACCCACAGTCGGGCAACCCGCGTTATATCGGTGCAAAATGGAGATGGAGAGACTGAATGTCAGAGCAAGAGCAAGAATAGACCAGTCCCTTGAAGGGGAATAACACCTACCTTGTTTAGAACTTTTTTGAAGATAGAATGCATGTCTGTGGATACACACTCAACTGATGACATCCAGGTCACAGTTCCTGCCGCACCGTGAATGCTCGAGGTAAAAGACACAGCCACACAGGTATAAAGGAATAAGAGTCTGGATTGATGCGTCCCTGTAGCTGTGAAGAGCTCCAGAGTATTCTGAGAGCAGCTTGACTCCATCAGTTCCACAGCTGCCATCAAGTGATAGGAAATCTTTAAACAGGTAGCCCCTGCTTTTCGAAAAATGCCGTAATGATACTTCACTTTTACGAGTGACCTACATTAGTGTACTCATTTTTGCTGATAGAAATACAAACAGAATCTTCACTTTTACAACAAAAGGCAAAAAGTGGAAATAGCTTTTAGCTTTTGTTTTGCCGCAGCCATTTAGAAAATGCTAGTGGCGGCAGCAGTGCACACCTCGGCAAGTGAGGATGCGCTGCCAGGTTTTCTTGGGAATTACTTTGTACAGGCTTGTCCTTATGCCAGCGCTCCTGCTTTTACTCTGTGCTATTGTTACTTTAGCTTTTGTGTGTAGTTTGATGTGATTCGGCAGGTTTGCAGGGGTGGGAATGCTCAAAACTTTTCCCACATAAATGAACAGCAGTTCCTTCTTTGCTGTATGCCATTTTTGCTTGTGAAAAGTTTCATAGGAACTCTGCTTTCAGATACCAGGGGAGATTTGTCTGTCCCTCTCATTGTTGATAGGTAGCCCGACTGGTAGTAAGCAGTGGCCTCTGCCCCTCTGTCCCGCTCCTTAGTATGCACATCACGCAGACCGTAGTCAGTCAGCAGACTTGGTAGACCGGGCTGCTGGTGGATGAATGCCGGCTTGTCCCTGCAATTCTCAAAGAGGCCTCTGTGGGTTAATGCTGGTACCCTGGGGGTGGGGGTGGTGGGTGGTAAAGAAGTCTAAATCAGTATTTTGATGGCTCCACTGTGGCCCCTCCCTGGGGATTTAAATCTACTTGGTGCTGTCCAGCTTGCCTTTGCGCCACCCAAAGATGCAGGTTCTGGGCCCTCTGTCACGATTCGGGCAGAGACACTTCTAGAGGGCAGGATGCTGAGCCCCCTTCAGGCTTTGCTTCCTCATTCTGTTACATAGATTATAATCTTCTAGGAAAACCTGCAGTTATATAGTAATGCTAATTATCAGCTCTTTGCAAGTTACTGTTTGGACTCTGAGGTCATGTGGCATAAAGGGGCATAAAGGTGAAAGATCTAAATTTGCAAAGCAGTAAAATAGTGGTTTAAGAATAAGTCGCAGTTAAAAAAATAGTTGCAAATTTTCTTCTCATTGGACTGATTTAGTAAATCATCTAGATGTGTTTAGTTCCAGATTCTGTTAATGTATAACTAATTGTATTGTGTATCAGTGATTAGTAGCATTGGAACGTATTAACTCCATTTACTACGTGAAGTTAAATAGTTATTATCTGTCTTGGGAATCATCATCCTGCCCTCAAGAAACATACTATCTAATAGCTCCAAATACATTATTTGCTGGATGCTAGTTCCTAGGGTGAGGGTGGCCAGCTGGGTGGGGGGGTAGCGTGCGGTGAAATGATTGGCTGGGATGACCTCTGGGTGCTGCACTCCTCAGTGGTGTGCTCCTTGCACCTCTGAGTACTCTCTCAGAGTTGGGGGAGGTGCAGCAGGCTAACTCAAACTAATATATGCCTTTTGCATTAATCCTAAAACTATAAGGACTTTCCCTACTGGTCAGGACCCACACTGCTCCGTCCTGCTACGCATCCCGCATCCCGACTCCGGTGGGACCAGCTGGCGGATCCTCCTTTATCTCACCCTGTGCTGCTGGTTTGGGTTATGGGGTCTGTAAGTCTACTTCCAACTCAGTAGTAGTGTTTCATTGTAGCAAGTTTACCTATTCTGTGGATCATTGCTCAGTTTACAGTTTGAGGAGATTTGATGGACTTTGTATCGCCCCTGTAGTTTACATCTTCTTAAAGGTCTCATTGACATTTACTTAGCCCTTCAGAGAGTATTAATAAAAATCATCATAGCTAACATTTATGGAGCACTCACTAGTATATGCTTTACCTGTTATTTAACCTTCCTAACTGTTGACCTGTTTTTGTTTTTATAAATGAGGACATTCGGGCCAGGAGGGTTAAGCAGTTTGCGCAGGCCCAGAGCTGATATTGCTAGAGCGGGGACGTGTACCAGGCGTCTGTCAGCGCGGGTTTCCCATCACGGTGCTGTGCTTCACTGTGTCGTTTGTCACATTTCTCTCTCCATGCAAAGCTCGGGGCTTTGATCAACGTTATTTATTAACGGGCATGCACACTCTGCCTCTATTTTATTGGAATTTCCGGCATGACCTTAAGTGTATCAAGAGACTGTCTTAAATGCCTTTCTAAAATCAAGATGTACTGCCCAAGACATTATTTCCAGGGTATTCTCTAGGGTGATAAAGGATGACACTTCCCAAATAAGGTTCTATCATTTAAAGAAAGGAAACATTAAAACGAGTTTGGAGAACTCTGGTTAAGTAAGTCGCTGCAGTGGCTCCCTGGCCATGACATTTATTCCTGCCTGTTCCAGGGAGGTGAGGAACAATATGTGACATTTCCAAACTCCTCTCCAAGGGACAATCAAGGGAGCATTTTCTGGGGAACAATTTCAGTAAAGTTAGTCATTCATTAATTCGTTGGATCAGTTTCACTTTGCATGTCTAGTCTGTCATCTAGGCTTTAGCGGGAAGAAAGAACGTGATTCGGTAACCCCAATTACCCTCGCTCGCGGCCCTGGATCGCTGCAGTGTGCACACAGCCGTCACCTGGTGGCGTTGACAGATGTGCTTCCCTGTCAGGCTTAACGGTCTGCCGCTTCTGTTACCTGTGTATGATTTGGGGTCCTTCTAAACTATTGCACTCTGGTTTTCTGACACATTCTCTGTTGTCCAGGCTTTAGCAAGGAATGTTGCGAGAGGTTCTGAGGGCAGCATCTTCCAGGTTCTCGCGGTGTCTTGGAGAGGAAGTCCTCTGGGCGTGGGGACTTAGACTTACAGTGACTATTAGTGCCCACGTGTCACGGCTTGGATTCCTTTGTCATCCTGTTTGCCGTGCCCTTTCCAGTTTGAAGCTGGGCTTCTGCGTACAGGGAGACTGACACCAAAGTGCACTGACGGCTTCTGCTTGCTTTCTGTGAGCCTTTTCTCTTCCTGCTTCTGACATGACAGACACAGTGTTTCAGCTGACCTGCTCTTGTTCGGTTTTAGCCTCTTTCATGACAACTCTGGGCCACTTTCCTTTGGTCATTATCTCTTCCTCCGTCTCTCACACCCCTTGAAGCTCTTCTTAAAGAGCGCGCCATGCTTAGCCCTAAGTAAGGAGCACTGCCCGTGTGTGTTACAGACACGGAGGGGAGTGACCGGGAGTTAGGTCACTGGAGGCCTTGGGCTGCATGAGAGGGCCGGGCTCGGGCAGGAGGAGAGTGCACGGTGCAGGCCAGGCTGGGGAAGCACCAGGGTTGATCGGCGTGGGCGCTGTCCTCGAGGCGGGGTGAGCAGAACGGGCGGAGCTGGTCGTCAGCATTATTTACAAATGAAATTCAGTTGGAAAAAAGCTGGCTTTTATAGCACACAAAAAAAGTTCTAAAAGTTGAGCTATCTAATTGTATCAGACACCTGCGTAGACAGATGTGTTCATGACTCTTTTAACACCTTTGTTGTTTTGTGACTGGGTCAGCCAAGTGCTCTGTCAGCTCTCACGAGTCCAGTCCAGAGGGTGGGAGGCAAGCTGTGGATAGGGACATTCACTCGGATGCTTAAAAAAGTTGCCATTCCTGAGTAGATGCTCATTGAGCCCTTAGACATGTGCTTGGTCTGATCAAAGCACGTCTCAGCAAAATGAGCCGAACTGATACAAAACAGCGCCTATGTGGCAGGAGCGTTCCGTCCACCCCAGGACACCGAACCTGTTCCTCCTGGAGTGGAATATCTATCTGAGAGTTTTCTCTCTTCTTTGCAGGTTGGCTCAAAGACGGAAGTGGCAGAGTGTAAGGAGAAATTCGCCACCTCCAAAGACCCCACGGTCAGTCAGACTTTCATGTTGGACAGGGCATTCAACCCGGAGGGGAAGGCCTTGCCGCCCATGAGAGGGTTCAAATACACTAGCTGGTCCCCCATGGGCTGTGACGCTAACGGCAGGTGCCTCCTGGCCGCGCTGACCATGGACAACCGCCTGACCGTCCAGGCGAACCTGAGCAGACTGCAGTGGGTCCAGCTAGTCGACCTGACGGAGATTTACGGAGAACGCCTGTTCGAGACCAGCTACAGGCTCTCCAGAAGCGAGGCCCCGGAGGGCAACCTGGCGGATTTTGCCGAGTTCCAGAGGAGACACAGCATGCAGACGCCCGTGCGGATGGAGTGGTCGGGCATCTGCACCACGCAGCAGGTCAAGCACAACAACGAGTGCCGGGACGTGGGCAGCGTGCTCCTGGCGGTCCTCTTTGAGAACGGGAACATCGCCGTGTGGCAGTTCCAGCTGCCCTTCGTCGGGAAGGAGTCCATCTCTTCGTGCAACACGATCGAGTCGGGCATCAGCTCTCCGAGTGTCTTGTTCTGGTGGGAATATGAGCACAACAATCGGAAGATGAGCGGCCTCATCGTGGGGAGTGCCTTCGGACCTGTGAAAATTCTTCCCGTCAACCTCAAAGCAGTTAAAGGCTACTTCACTCTAAGGCAGCCTGTTGTCCTGTGGAAAGAGATGGACCAGCTGCCAGTGCACAGCATCAAGTGCGTGCCCCTCTACCACCCATACCAGAAGTGCAGCTGCAGCCTGGTGGTGGCCGCACGGGGCTCCTACGTGTTCTGGTGCCTCCTGCTCATCTCCAGAGCTGGCCTGAACGTGCACAACTCCCACGTCACAGGCCTTCACTCGCTGCCCATCGTCTCCATGACTGCAGACAAGCAGAACGGGACGGTCTACACCTGTTCCAGCGATGGGAAGGTCAGGCAGCTGATTCCCATCTTCACGGATGTTGCACTAAAGTTTGAACACCAGCTGATCAAACTCTCGGATGTGTTCGGCTCAGTGAGAACACACGGGATCGCAGTGAGCCCCTGCGGGGCCTACCTGGCCGTCATCACAACGGAGGGCATGGTCAACGGCCTCCACCCGGTGAACAAGAACTACCAGGTCCAGTTTGTTACTCTCAAAACTTTCGAAGAGGCAGCTGCTCAGCTGCTGGAATCTTCGGTGCAGAATCTCTTCAAGCAGGTAGATTTAATAGACCTGGTGCGCTGGAAGATCCTGAGAGACAAACACATCCCTCAGTTTTTACAAGAAGCTTTGGAAAAAAAGATCGAAAGCAGCGGGACCACCTATTTTTGGCGTTTCAAACTTTTCCTTCTGAGGATATTGTATCAGTCGATGCAGAAAACGCCTTCCGAAGCCTTATGGAAGCCCGCCCACGAGGACTCCAAGACCTTGCTGGTGGACTCTCCTGGGATGGGCAACACCGAGGATGAGCAGCAAGAAGAAGGCGCGTCTTCCAAGCAGGGGAGTAAGCCAGGCAGAGACGGGGACCCGGACGACCCCACCGACGACTCCCTCGCCCAGTCTGGCGATGCTGGGGGCCGGGAGCCCATGGAAGAGAAGCTCCTGGAAATCCAGGGGAAGATCGAAGCTGTGGAGATGCACCTGACCAGGGAGCACATGAAGCGCGTGCTGGGGGAGGTATACCTGCACACCTGGATCACGGAGAACACCAGCATCCCCACCCGGGGGCTCTGCAACTTCCTGATGTCTGACGAGGAGTACGACGACAGGACGGCGCGGGTAGGTGTCCAGGCTCACTGCCGCTGAAAGTGTGTCTCGCGAGAGAGTGCCCGGAGCTGAATTCTTGGAGTGCAGCTTTTGCTTTGATTGTGTAGATAACTGGGGAGTGTGAGGTGCCGGGGAGTGCACGGGAAATGCGGATTAGTGCTGGGGACACCCTACTTCTGCCCCTCTCTCACTGCTGCCTCATTTGATGTGCAGTTTGCAAGGTGAGGCTCGTGGATCCTGGAGGGCCTGGAGCAGAGCTGAGTGCTTGGGGTCACCACAGCAGGGGAGGTGGGTGCCCAGAACTGGCTCCCTGCCCCTGCTCTTGCCAGAGGGTTTTGGCGGGTGGAGAGGATTCAATTTGAAAGGACTTGAAGAGGCCTTCCAATTTAGTCAAGGCGCATATAAATTACTGTTTTTTTTTTTTAATCTTTTTTTTTTTAAGATTTACTTATTTATACAAGCACTGGGTACAGTCAGAAGCGCGGGAGGGTGAGAGAATTCACCAGAGCCACAGCAGGGAACAGAATAGGCAGACAGACGAAATATACTGCTGAGGGGAGCAGCGGGCAGCAGGAGAGGTCTGCGCGCCATGTGGGACCCTTGCCATCAGCCGGGGATCTAACCGGTGCTGCGGAGGCTGTGGGCAGCTTCGCAGCCCAGCGCTTAACCGCTGCGCCACTGGGGAGGCCCACTTTTTTTTTTTTTAAACAAAACTAGGCAGCACGATTGTATTTGATGTTGAAACAATGAGAGGTATTCAAAATATGTTTCACAGAACACTAGGGTTCCAAATGTGGGGAAATACTGCACACCCTGTACCTCACTTAAAGGTTCCCAGTGCACCCTGCTGTTCTGAGAGTCCCTGCAGAAAGGAACCCTTTGAGTAGCACTTTGAGTAGCTCAGTGTTAGACATACATGTCAGTCAGGGGCCTTTCAGCTGGGGCCTTACGGCTGCTGAGTCCTGAAGCGCGGCCCGGCACCACAGAAGCCTGCGCTCCTTCTTCTTCCGGGGTGGACGCGGGTCCTCATTGCCCAGAGTGTCTCACCCCAGTCACTGAAGGCGGTAAATTTACATGTCTTCGTCCCCAGCCCAAACCTTCCACGCGCCACTTGTCGGGGGCGGGGGGAGAGAGAGCGTGTGTGTGCGTGTGCGTGTGCGTGCGCGTGCTGCTCGGAGGCTGTCGGCTGTCATCTCAAGGGCGGCCGAGATGCTCTGTTCACGCCCCTGACTTTCCAGCTGCGACGGCTTTTAAATACCAGTTCAGTGTGTACTGCATCTGGTGAGAGTTTCCTGGTTCTTGCTGTTTCATAGGACTAGCAAGGATATTTTAAGAGTCGATGAAATGTCAACAGAGATATTTAGAAAATCGGCGGTGGGCGTTGGTCGGGATGATCGGCCGCGCCAGGAGCCCAGGCCCAGTGCCTCTCCCGCCCGGCGCCCCTTACCAGGGGAGGGTGTGCCCAGCCCGTCGGTCGCACCTGAGTTTTGACCTAAAAAAATGTATTTCATGTCTTAAAAATTCCCAGCGCGTGCATGAAATGAAGACTGTCACGCCTTCCCCGGGGAGCATAAATTGTTTCTGCGCTACTCAGCGCCGCGTGCCGTGAGAGCGCGGCGTGTTGAAACTCATTGTCAGCCGCCACCACGTAGACATCGTCCCTGTCACTGCCCACGGCATGTTGGTGCCGCAGATGCACTGCGCGCCTGTGTATGTGCTCCAAGAACCTCTACTTTATCCATAAAAAGCGTAAGAAGTTTTTGTCCCCCAGGAACCAGTATGCGCCCCAGAGGACGGGCTGGCGCCCCACCGCAAAGGCAGGGTTAGCGTGGCCCAGCGAAGGGCATGCCAGGCAGCAGAGGCAGTGCTTCCGTAGGTACAGGGTGGGCATCGACGGCAGGATCCTGAGCCGTGTCTGTCCCCTCTCGGGGCATTCGGTCTGTCTAGAAAAGGCGGGGGCTGGTGGTTATCCCTGCCACGAGGACCCCTAAGTCCACATTCTTTTTTTTTTTTTTAAGATTTAGTTATGCACACGAGAATGTGGGTACAGGCCAGAGGTGTTAGGGGTGAGAGGACTCACCAGAGACAGAGTGGGGAACAGAACAGGCAGATTGACTGAAATACACTGCTGAGGGGAGCAGCGGGCGAGACAGAAGGTCTGCTGCGCCATGTGGGTAGCTCCCAGACTGGGGATCAAACTCGTGCTGCAGAGGCTGCGACAGCCTCATAGGTTCGTAACCCCTTGGCGCCACCAGGGAGGCCCTAAGTCCACACTCTTAAGGCTAATGATCAAAAAGATCAAAAATTAATCCGCTTCAGATTTGCATGTTCTGTGCAGCATGGGTAAGTGACTGTCATCCACTTCTGAGCTCTGGACAGACACTCTCAGAACGTCAGCGGGCTAGTGTCGGGTTCGTGGGCTCACAGGGCTCCCCCAGTGCTGAGGTGCGCGCCGAGTCTTAACAGGGATGGCAGGTCCGCTAGCAGGACCGGGTGGTTCTGAAGGGTCAGTGTGGCCCTCGCCTCCCAATGGTAGAGCCCGCGAGGGGTTTGTCAACAGAACAGCGATGCGGGCAGCGAGCTCACGGGCCGGGCCCGCCCCTTCCCGCTCTGCGTGGGGCTGCGGCCCAGCTCGGCCTCTGCGCCACCCAACGGCAGCTGCTGCTTTTTTGATCCTAATCATCTTTTCACTTTGCACATCTTCCTTGCAGAACAGGCATCTGTACAGCTCTGCAAAGTTAGTATCTCGTGTAATGCTTTGCCTATACAATTTTGCTTTCCTCCTTAAAATCAAAACTATAAATAATAGTTAACTTTGTCTTCTCACAGAACGCGGAAGTCTTTGTTTCGGAGGCAGCTAGAACAAGGCAGGTAACGAGGTGGCGGGTTTCAGAACAGGCCCCCGCAGTGGTCAGAGCTCGCCCGCACCGCAGGCCTGGCGGGGTCGCTTCTCAGCCGGCGAGATGCGTCGCAGGTTGTCCAGCGTGCCAGGCCGCGCGGCGCTGCCGGTCTCCTGTCTCGGGCACGCTGCGTGCGCCCTCTGTCCTCGTGCGGGTGGGCTGCTGCCGCAGGACGCCACCCTGGCCGCTCAGGCACTCACCGCTCCGTCTTGCTAGGTGCTGATTGGACACATCTCGAAGAAGATGAACAAGCAGACGTTCCCCGAGCACTGCAGCCTGTGCAAGGAGATCCTGCCCTTCACAGACCGCAAGCAGGCAGTCTGCTCCAATGGCCACATCTGGCTCCGGTAAGCACAGCCCGTGCCTGGCTCTGCCCCGCTTCCAGCTGTGGGCATGAGCCACCGTCAGGCCGACCCGGCACCCGTGCAGTCCAGGGTGAGTGGGAGGAGCTGGGAGGAGCTGCTTTCTGCGTCATCCGTATGCAGGCGCGCCCCCGGGAGGTCGGTTTATTTTGGCAACACTTTTTCTTCAGGATAGCATTAATTTTTTTAAAACTTATTGGGAAAGTAATACCTGTTAGAGTAGAATAGAAAAACGCTTATGCCTGCTTTTAATTTTATAATAAAAGATAGGCGTTCTCATTCTCCTCAGCCTCTCTGAGAGGCGGCCTTGTGTCCACCTTGGACGGGTCTCTGAGCTGCTTTTGAGATGGGGTCACCCCTTCCTCCCATCACCTGGCTTCCTGGACACAGTAGCTGCCCGACGTGCGTTTGTCATGGTCCAGTGTCTCTTCTGGGACAGCACATCATCTCCACGCTGGTGGCTTACCCCAGAGCTTTAGCCCACATCTCCTCCCCTAGCCCACAGACACCTGCCACCTCGCTAGCGTTGGGAAGTTACTGGGCATCTCAGGCTCAAAGCCAGCCTCTCACTGCCTGCAGTCCCAGTCTGACACCCCGTCATCTGCTTCCAGAAGGCTCAAGAATTTTCCCACATAGATGTATGGCAGTTGCTTCTTTGCTGAGCGCCACTTTGCTTCCTGCCTCCATCTTGACCCTCTGGTCTTCCCTCAGCAGCGCTGTGATAGATCCTGCTAGAACTCATCAGCTCACCCCCGCTCAGAACTCCCTGGGGCCACCTGTTTCTGATGAGGAGAGTCACGGAAGTCTTCCAGTCACTGACGAGACCACACTGCCCGGCCCCACCCCGTGGCCCTGTCCAGGTCTTGCTCGCTTCCCTCGGGCGAGATGGCCTCAGCCATTCCTGGAGTACGCCCTCCAGCCCCCGCTCCCTCCCTCCCTCGGCTTCAGGGTGCTGGGGGGTCCTCCTCTCTGCCTCCATGCTGCGCCAACGGTGTCTGCCCACGCCTCGGGCACCCTTGATCGCTAGGGCCTTCCTGCCCTGCTGCCTGGGCACCCCGCTGACCCCCGCCATTTCTTCCCCCTCTGCTTTATCCTCAGTAATAATTGCTGTAGTCTTTACTTTCTGTGTTTCTTTCATCTGAACTGGAAAGTTCCATGAGCACAGGAAATTTTGTTGTTTTCTTCCTGTTTGTAGTGCAGTGCCTGACACGTGGTCAGCACTGTTTTTCAAATTAATTTTTAATAGAACGGAATTGTGCTACACACACTACCTTAAGCACTTGCTGGTTTTTAGCAAAATACCGTTGATGTTCTCCACACCGACACATGGGTCCCATTCTTAAGGGCTGTAGAAACTTCCATTGTGTGGACGTTCCAGTATTTACTCCCTCACTGATGGATGTTTGAATTTTTTAGACTTTTTATTGTGTTCCATAGTTTTCCTAATTTGACTTTTCAGACTTTTTTCTTAAGGGGGAAGTAGGAAACAGGCCGTGTTGGAGTAGCTGCAGTGGTAACAGCCACACACGACCAGTGCGACCGCGGCGTAGTGTGCCTGGCTGCCTGCGCAGTGCCCCGTCCAGTGTGGGCATCCTCACGGCCAGCCTGCGTGGGTGGTCATGACAGTTCCACGGGGGAGGGAAGTCATTCCTGAGTTCTTGGTAGGTGGCAGGGCTGGGTCCGGGTTTACGACACATTTCTGTGTCTCAGGTTCTTCCACAGAAGTTACTTCCATTTTTGCTGATTGAAGTTGGTGCCGGAACACCTGGTGGGTTTCTCCAGTGAGCAGGGGTGCTTGCTTTCCCCTAGACGTGACCCTTCTTCGTGAGCCCAAGTCTGGGCCCTGGACCATCCCCACTTCTCCTCCCCTACTTTTCTGGTCCTTGCTTATGTGGCTTAAGTGATTAACAGCTTTCGGGAAACTGTCCCCGCAGAACCCAGCTGTGGCCCCTCGTTGGTTATTCCTGCTCAGACTTGCCTGGTCCTTGAACGGTCATCACGTGGCCTTGAACTCGGATGTTGTTAAAACCCCTTTTATTGTGCCACTAGTTTTGTCTGCTGTGTCCTTTGGGTTTCCCCACTGTACTGTCAGGTTAAAGAGAGTGCCAAGACCACTAACAAGAATAACTTTTAATATACGTTGCCAGGTTTCTTAACATATCAAAATGCAAAGTACATCGGGGTCCGGGACAGACCAAAGACTCCAGGCTGCACGTGCAGGACGGAAGTGGCAGCGCCTGCAGGATTCGTGGCTTTGTCTCTTCGCTCTGTGGCCCGACATAGCCCCTTCCCCTTTACTTAATGGGGGCGGGGGTCCTCCGAGCTTCGATATGCACAGCGACACATTGCTGCCCCGAATCTGTGAACTGTTTTGTCCTTTCCCTTGTTTAATGAGGGGTATTTAATTAACTGCAGAGTCCCCAACATTCCCCTGCCTTCGCAGTGCTGGCCGAACTAACTGTAAGCCCTCTCTCCTCAGGTGCTTTTTAACCTACCAGTCCTGCCAGAGCCTGATATACAGGCGGTGTCTGCTCCACGACAGCATCGCCCGCCACCCAGCTCCAGAGGGTGAGTGCTTGCCCAGCGGGCGGCCGAGCGGCCAGCAGCGCACCTAGCCTGCGGGTCCCGGGCCCAGCTCTGACCCCACCTGCTTGGCCTCCTGCCGTCAGGGCTGCGAGCAGGTTCATGCTGCTCTTTGCCGTGTCACTGGAAGCCACAGTGATGACCGGAATGTGGTGTGTGAGAGCAGGTGGGGCTGCACTTGCCGTTCTGTTACTGTTAGCCACCCCTGAAAGTGTCCCTTTGTCCCAGGTGGCACACGTTCCGGTGAAAACTCAGCAGAGACAGTGCGTGCAGAGACGCTTCTCCTGGGGTGGGCGTGGAGGGGGTCAGTGTCTGTGGCTCTGCTTCCTCTCTCCTGAGAGCACACTGGCGGAGCCCATGTTTCTGAGATCACTAGTTGGAAATAAGACCGTAGACGTGAGCAAGGAATCAGTGATTCAAATAGCCATGAATGTCATATTTACGAGCTGAGATCTGTTAATCATACACTAACCAAATGAGCTCTCAGTAGTCAGACCCCAGCACATAGAAGTGTGGATGCACGCCCAAGTGTTAGTGGAAATTTGTGGTCCAAGTAAACTGAAACACGCATTCTAGGTGAAACTGTGTCCTTATTCGAAATGGTTGTCTAAACTGACTGCTACCGAGGTGGTAGCTTCCGACTCCAAGCTTCGTGGTGGCGCCTGTGCCATGTTGCCTTTGTGCGCTGGAGAGCGCTGCCTCCTAGAGGGCCAGCGGTGGGAGCCAGCCCCGGTGCCCCCGCCAGCTCCCAAAGCCGCACCTAGTCTCCCGTGGTCCCTGCGCTGCCCCTCTGACTGCACTGTTTGGAAGCTGTTTTGGGACCTGCCAGAGGCTGGCTGGGCCTGTGTGCCGTCTAGGCAGGACGCCGGGAGGAGCTTGAAACCTATTTAAAAAGCACCGCACCCGCCGAGTGATGGCTGGGCCTCACGCAGCCTTGAGAGAGGGAGCCCATTTCCGCCCAGAGTCGAGGGGGGCTGTTGCAAGGAGCCGGCGTCCACAGCTTTTACTTCTAAGAGTCTCTGTTCACCTTGACAGTGGAAGGATGTGCGCTGATGACAAAGTACAGTTGGCCCGTGGACAGTCTGAACTATGGGCTCCACACAGACACAGATCTTTTCAGTGAATAGGCCAGAAATTTTTTGGACAAAAACTTGAAAGTACTCGCACGAGAACTTGGTAGCCTGAAAATATCACAAGAATGAAGAAAAGGCTAGATGTGCCACCGACGCTGGTAGTCTGTTGCATCCTTCACGCGCTGCAAACGTCAGAACTCACCAGAAGGCCCACACAGACACCCCACTCGGCACCCGGTGCAGCCCCCAGCCGGTAGCCACATTATCGGCAGGCTGTTCATGGTTAGGTTTGGGGGAGTCAAAGTTACATGTGCATTTTTGTCCACACAGCATTCCGCACCCCGCCCCACAGGGTCAGCTGTGTGTTGTTCTCTCTCCATTTCAGGCTTGCTCGGAGTGTCCGGGTGAGGCGCTTTGCCCTGGGTCATGGCTGGGGCCAGAAGGCCCACGGCTCAGCCCTCAAGCCCTGCACTGCCTTCCCCAAGCTAACACTCATGCCGCTTGTCTCCTCCGCAGATCCTGACTGGATCAAGAGGTTACTGCAGAGCCCCTGCCCTTTCTGCGATTCCCCCGTTTTCTAACGTCGGAGCGGGGCAGCGGAGAGGGCCGGTGTTCTGCCACCGAACATGCCCCGAGCCTGAAGAGCCGGGCCACGGAGCAGCCTGGTGGACGTGGACAGGCCTCTTCCAGACTGTCAGCAGGGCCTGGGACTTACTTCTGGAGTCATGCCCTGTCTCCAGGGACTAAAGGGGAGCTTCGAAACGGCTGAAGGCAGGGATTTTAAGTCATTTTGAGAGGAGCATTAGGCCATGCACGCTTCTTAGCCAGTGAGGAACACTTATTTTTCAAGTGTATTGACCGAAACAGTTTGAACAAAAAGAACGCCCTGTTGCTTGCAGGGGCAGGAGGATTTCCTCCAGAGGGTCGGATAAGCACGTGGCTGGGCCGAGCAAGCTCTCATCCTTCCCTTGGTCTGGAACTGCCCCGTGGCAGTTAGATGACCTCGTACGTGGTATTCCGTGTACCGACAGCTATTAAAGTTGTGTAAACAAAGCCTGGGCCTGAGATTTTGTTCTTAACAAATAGCTGCAGACCTATAACCGCCCCCCGCTGTCTCCATGTATATTGAAAATGTTTTCCTAAAACTGTTTTTAGGAGGTTGATGCCAAGGCTGTAGACAGCTTTAATGTGTCCAAAAATCAGGTGACTCTTACAAGTCCCTAAGTTGTGGCTTGTGTTTAACAATCTCCGTGTTTCCAGACCTCCTGGCCCAGCTCCTTTGTGTGCGTGACCCACAAGTGTCCAGTCTCCAGGTCGCAGCCCTACTTCAGACTGGCTTGTGTTGACCTAGAGGAGATTTGTAAAAAAAATAATACTTTCCCCTTTTAGTTTAAATGAACACTTCCAGGATTTTTAAGGTGGACATTTCACGACATTTCACTTCTATACGGTACAGTAGCATACAGATTCCAGAGACTTCCAGAAAGGGTGCTCACAAGCAGATGCTGGGACTCTGGTGCCATCTCTGCAAAGGTGCTGGGGCCCATGATACAGGTTGTTGCCTGCGGGCTGTGAGGTGGTGGTGGCGGATGTTGGTCTGAAAACCGAAAATAGAAGCTGGGCCCTGTGGCGTTCCAGTGCCCCATTCCTGGGTTGTTTAAGGACGTGCCTTGGGGTCTGTGCTGGCCAACGGGCATGTGACACGCACGTCTTGAAGTGGCGCTTATCTCTGGAAAACCTGGTGGGAAAGGCAAGAAGTGAAATTCTGAGTCATTACCAACTGCTGTCGTGATTCACTCTTCAGTGCTTTCCTGCCCTCCTCAGCCTCCTCAGTGACCCGGTGTCCTCGCTGTAGGACCAGTGAGCGTTGGGTGACCGGAGAGCTGCGCCCCTTCCTGGTGCCAGGCGCCCCGCATGAGGATGCCTCGTTTCCTGGCCGCGTGTGTTTTGTCTCATGTGTTTGTGTTTGCCGGTGTCTTCTGCTTTCTCGCCTTGGTGGTGATTTCAAGGATACTGAGTGTGCAGGCTTGCTGGTCAGCGTGTTCAATCGATTTTTGAGAGAGAACCAGGCAGCGTCGCAGTCAGTCCCGAGTCCAGCGGGGGCCGCGGTGGTGGTCATGGTGGCGAGCAGCGTCTCCTCACAGTGAGGCTGCCGTCGAGGCACCGCTGCAGGCTGGTGATCCTGGCATAATCAGTTTCACTATTTTGTTCTTAATTGTTGACCTGTTCTTGTCGGGGAAGGTTGTGCTGCCACCACTATAGTCTTTACTTAAAAGAAGCTGTGCACTTGGGGGAGCATTTAACTACTAGGAACTAAGCTAAAAAGGCTCCCCCGAATTACTCATAGGTCCAGGAATAAATGTGGCAACCACCATGCCGAAGACTGGATCTCCCCAGGGGGCGTATTGCGGTTCGCGGGGCGGATGGCAGTGGTGGGTGTGACCCAAGTGCAGACTAGCCCCTCCAGGCTGTGCGTTCATGCCCTGCACGCTTGCCCCACGCCTGCCTGACCTCCGTGCGGGTCTCAAGTTTATTCCAGCAGTGGCTGCATGGGCGTGGGAGACGCGGCGGAAGCGACGTCGCTGTCTGCGGCAGCTCGGGAGCAAAGGTCCCGAGCAGTCAGACCTTCCAGGCGCCACCCGCCCCGGGCCCGCCGCCCGTGGTTCGCTTGTTCCCCTGTTCTGGATGAGAGGCGGATGGCGTGACGCTCATTCCGAAGTCCTCGCGTGTCTGCCGCCCGGACTTCCAGCAGCCTCTACCTGCTGTTACAGCTGCCCCAGCGACCGGTCACTTTTCAGTGTCAGAAGCATCAGAGCCACTGGCGCAGCGTGACATTTTTCTGCTTCTCCCGCCTCAAAAGCTTGAGACCGTGGCTGCTGAAGTGTGTGGGCTGGGCCCGTCCCGGAGCCTGACGGCTCAGTTAGGTCGAGGGACGCAGGGCGGTAATGGAAAGGGAACACGTCCTGTGGTAACTGCCGGGGTATCGGCCATGATGAGAAAGAAACGGGTGCTTGGGGGTCCTGTGACGAGGAGCGCAGTGCTGGTTTCAGGGGCGCCTGCCCGCCTTGCAGCAGTGAAGCTGCTTCGGAGTTTAGGGGGCTGCAGCACTTCCGGGAATGAAACCAGGAAATCTGCCCCAGGTCCGTGTCTGGGGGCCTGTCCTGTCCCTGACCCCCCCTTGCCTTTTCAGGGCCTTCAGGGATTCCCCTTCCTTTGGGCCCCTCCCCTTGAGGACGCCCTCAGAGCTAACAGTGCGTCTGACGTCGCGGGTCTCCCTCCCCAGAAGAGAATGTTTCAAGGTGGTAGTGTCAGCTGTTAACAGCATCTTAGTAAACTGTCTGGTTTTCTCCAAAACTCACACCCTTCCTGCTTCCCTGTCAGGGTGTCCATAACCCACAGCTGCACGTGGGACTGGCGTGTGCTAGATTTCACCCTGGCCAGCGCCCCGCCCCAGCCAGTGTTCTTGTCAGGCAAGAAGTCCAGGTAGAGCGAAACAGCGGGGCAGAGGGGCAGAGGCGGCAGACCGAAGTCAGGGGAGAGGTGCTGGCGTCTTTGGCGGTGGGGCAGCGCCCCCGGGCGAGCGGGATGGCGGCCGGCGCTCCCCCTCCCGGGACGGCCGCGGCTCTGCTCTCGCTGCCTTTCTCGGACCTGCTGGAGCTGAGCCGTGAGCGGGGCTGAGCCGTGGGGGAACCCGGCTTTCCTCCTCGCGACGTCACATGTGGAAACTGCCTCTGAGGCGCTAGCTGAAGTGAGTTGCTTTCATGTCAGTTGTTAGTGAACGTTCTAGTTGGCAACGCGCAGCAGAATTAGACTCACTCTCGGGTTCCTTGTTACTAAACCCAGCAGCTTTTTCTGGAAGCTAAATGAGGATGTTGGAGTTAAGGCCGTGACATCTGCTCTGCATGCCCACCCCAGCTCGCGGGATGCCGTCTGTCTTTGGGAAGCGTAAGCCCACCGGGCGCAGCAAGAGTTGTTCCTGAGGCGCCCGCGCGCAGCTGGGCTCCCCGCACAGGCGTCAACCCGTCACCAGGGCTGGCGGCCGGGCCGAGGCTGCTGATAAAAGCAGCCTCCTGTCTGCATGCACAGTTCTTTAGACCAGACTGTTTCTGGAAGTTGGCTGTGGAAAGCAGTACATGAATCGGGAAAGACGGTTATAAAGATGTTCTGTAAAGCAGTTCGTCCTTCTGGCATATGGATATTTCTTCTCCAGCGTCCTTCTGATTATATGACCCAACCTGTTTAAAATTATTTTTATTGAGGTAATCCAGCTATTCTTGTCTTGCATGTTCTTGGCATTATAACCATACTCTAGAGGGGAGACAACATATAATCGAGGTGCCAGTCAGCCTGTTCACTTAACAGTGACGTCACGTTGCTTATCCACACGGTGCTGGAGAGAGGGGGAGGGTCTTCTCACGCTGGTATAATTAATTACAGGTGTGGACCATCGGGTTGAATTAAATTTCACAACGCTCAATCTTACGTCGAAGGTAAATTCATTTTCCTCACCATTATGAAACCCTTTCATTAAGAGATTCTGTGAAATGGTCACAGTGGTGAGGGCTTGGAAACCTTTTATACTTTATCAATTTTACACTTGACTAACAGGCTGGTAAGGTTTAGAGCGTTTTGTTTTAGGCACTAATGCAAAATTAAATGAATTATGTCCTTTTCAAGGCTCCGATTTAGATTTGTACCTTAATGGATGAAAGGAAAGTGAATCTCAAACTTGTTTATACGGAAATAAGACTTTATAGGAAAATAAGTGTGTTGTGCATAGTGATATATATTTTATGTTTACCCAGTGCCTGTGCTAACCTTTACACTTGGCTTCACATTCTGTGGATGTTTACAGATGGCATTTTTAAAATAAAAAGAGGCATCTAAAAGCTTAAGGTTGTAGAAAGGAGATGGTCTTTTAATTCTTACCATCTGAGTAGATGGTGTGTTTTTAGACTTTTAGTGCTTAAACTTTAAAAAAAAGAAAAAAACACTTTCATGATACATTTGGGTTGGAATACCCCCCCAAACCAGATCGGCTGTTTCTCTTCTTTGTATATATGTACATAGCGTTCACGATTAGATTGTAAGCTCCTCAAGGGCAGGGACTGTCCACCTCATCTTGGTAGTTCCTGCAGCACCTAGTGTAAAGTGCCTTGCACAGAGCAGGTGCTCATGATGTGTAGAGCGAGTCACTTCCTGCCACCTTTAAGATGAGGCATGGCTCGCTCTTGCCAGTGGGTTCAAAGCTGCAAACAGTTAATGACCAGAGGAGGGCCACATTCTCTCTTGGCCTGAACTGAGTTTGTGGGTTGCACCAGACCATGCCATATTGTTAGCACTGTTTAGCCTTCTTCTCCAGTGCGTAAACTTCGGCCTAATTTTAGGACAAAGGCTTTAGGAGAAATTTGAAGTGGGGAAGATGATCAAGAAAATAAAATGAAAATTTGAGGTGTCTGTCAACACACAGTTGTGGGGCAACCTTACTTTATTTTAGTTGCAACTAAAGAAAATGATAACAGATCCTCTTTCTTTGCCAGTTATCTGGCCAACCATCTAGTTAAAGAAAACTTTAACTTGTTTACAGTTGGATTTCCCCTGCATTGCGCATACGATTCTGGTAAGAGTCTAACAGAGTTGCTGCGGGTCTCCAGTGCTGTACATAGGGCCATTTTGTACATGTGAGATGACTTGGAATCTGTTGTGTTTTGTATGCAGAGCCATCAGTATTGTTATCTTGGCCACTTTTTTATTCAAAATAAATAAATAACAGGATTGTTTGTACATTGTGTGCATATTTTATCGGGTTCACCTGGTTTGTAGCAAAGCTTAGAAACATCTTTCAGCCTGCCCTTCACCACCAATGTTAAATGAGGCCCAGCAATGGCAGAAGTCAGTGTTAGAGTAACAGCCATCAGCAACCACTTCAGCATTCATTAAGTCTTTGGCTGTTTACTCCAAAAAAAGTATGAGAAATATAAAGGGGAAATAACCAACAGAACTTCAGTAGCACATCAAACCACGTCATCTTAGCAGTGTCAAGTAATGTCTGGTGAGTACTTAGATGAAGTACGGATTGCGGGGATTTCAGCAATGATAAGCATGTCATTCAGACAAACACCAAACAGGATAAGGAAAATGAAAAACAGCACTGCACATACCATAGCAAAACTGCTGAAAGTCGAAAAAAAAAATTAAGCAAAGAAAAAAAGACTAGTTACAAGAGCTGTAATGATGATGAAAGTGAAAGCAATAGATGATGTTTACCAGGTGATGAAAGAAAATCACTGCCAACGTCGACTTCTATACCTAGCAAAATATCCTCTAAGAATGCAAATATAAACATTTGCAGACAAATGGAAATGGAAGCGGAAGGAGTCTGAATGCATAGTCAGAAAGTCTAGAACAAAATCAGGTTCCCGATGAAGACTGACATCTGGGATGGGATTCAGAAACATTGAATCCCAGGCCTGCAGATGGTTCCTTCTCCCTCAAAGGAGAGCACCTCTCACTGCCTAGACATCAGTTAAAACCACCTGAAGTCTCATAAGATGATATTTTCCTCCTTAGGGCCACCTCCACTTGCCCTTATTAACCTCTTGGTCAATAACAGGCTAGTTTCAGTCTTGCCCTTTGAGAAGTTCCGTCCCTGGTATGGAAAGACATTAGGTACATACCAAAGAGCTGCACTGGCTCAGTGTATTGTGTGAACTCCAAATGGACTTTTGCTACATTACAGCCTCATTCAATGGCAATCTTAAAAGGACAGTGATGAGGGAAAGTCCTTCCAGTGGGTGGTGCTTTGAACAATACACTTAGCTCTTTCCCTCATGTGGAGAGGGAAATGGTCTGACACAACGGAGAATGGGCTTTGGTTGGCTAGGCAAGGCCATGAAAGAAACAAAATCAGATGGGAAGCAACAAATGCTGGGGAAGAGGCCATGTAACCTCAGACCATGTAGCCACATCTCTGGGAGCGAGCCCAAAGTGAGAAGATCGCTGCATCTCATACCAGTACTCACTAGGGAGCACTGCCACAGGGAAGGCACTGACACCCAGCTGGACAGACAACACAGCCCGTGGCAGTTAGCCAGCTTCCTGCACCCAGGATGGACACCATGGACCACTCATAGCTTTGATGGCAAGGATGGAGGATCTTATGGCCCAACAGCAGGGGTTTTCTTACACCAAGACTGATGTGGCTTCTGCTGCTGAACACCCAGTGTATGGGGAGAAGCCAGCATGAGCCTCAGAACTTGCCATCCTCCTGGGCCTCCCTGGTTGACCGCAGCACTGTGAAGCTGTCCGCAGCCTCTGCAGTGTGGGTTCAATCCCAGCCGGCCAGTGAGGGTTCCACATGGCGAAGCAGACCTCTCCTGTCTCACCCGTTGCTCCCCTCAGCAGTGTATTTCATCAGTCTGCCTGTTCTGCTCCCCACTCTGTCTCTGGTGAATCCTCTCACCCTCCCACGCATCTGGCCTGTACCCTGGTTCTTGTATAAAAATAAATAAATCTTTAAAAAAAAAAAAAAGAACTTGCCATCCTCCTGCAAGACTAGTCAGCCACCAATGGCAAGTTGACTGTGTTGCTCCCCTCCCACTTTGGAGTGAGCAGCAATTCACATTGGAGTCATTGTATTCTGGAGGTGGGTTTGCCTTGCCAGAAGTGCCACTGCCAGCCCAGTGACCCAGGAGCTGACAGAGGGCCCAATTTACTGAAATAGGATGCTGTACAACCTCACTTTGGACCAAAGATCATGTGCAACATAGGCATGTACCCGTGAGATCCTCTGGTCCTACCACCTGCCCTGTGGACTCAAAGCTGCCAGCCTGACAGAACAACCGAATGGCCTTCCAAAGACCCAACTGGACTTGATACCAACCCTATGGGTTGGGAGCTCTGCCTCCAGAATGCAACAGCCATTTAAACAACAGCCATTATTTTGTACCATGTGCCCAATAATTAGAATTCATGAATCTGGAAACCAAGCAGTGGAAGGACTGACCCCTCCAGTCACCCATTCCCCAAGATCCACTTGAACTCATGCTTCCATTGCTGCAATTTTAGGTGTGGTGGCATTTGAGTTCGGAACCCATAGGTTAGGACTGTTTCCACCAAATAACACAGCAAGAGGACTGTGGTTGCTGCTATCACTTGGGCCCTCACACTGGCAATCAGCCAACAAAGAAATGCATCGTTAGGCTAATGAGGTTGAGTCAGATCACAGGAAGGCGGGGTCTTCAACAATGCACAGAAATGGGCTATAATATATCAATTTTGACTTTGTGGATAGCTACAGCAGGTGAGAACTGGGGCAGCTTCTACTAATCCCCTGTGGTAAAACTCATGTTAAAGATAGTGCTGGTGATGGCGCTGGCCACAACAACAAATATGGCTCGATGTGGGTGGTGTAAAGGGCAGACAGTAGCAAAAACTGTTTGCACCTCTCACAGCTTTCCCTTGGCTCACCTGACATGCCACAGACCGCCTCAGTATTTGACATCTTCTCCACTTGAGCATTTGTGTCTCTGTCCTCCGCTGCCTGAGGGCTTCCTCTGCACTCCAGGGACCGCTTGGTTGTGAACTGGCTGCAGCATTGAGGCACCAGCTCCCCTTGGGGCAACTGCAAAGCAATGGGAAATGGTGGCTACATACCCCAGCCTCTGGGAGGGGTGGTCATGAGGGTGTGCTACACGCTGTCAGGGTCCCTGGTGGGATCACGCACTCTATTCCCGAGCAGTATCCTGCCTGTTACCTAGGTTTTACTGGATTTCTCTCATTCCCACATGTGCATCCTGGGATCACCTCCCAAATAAACTGCTTACAGCCACATTCTCATTGCAGGGCCTGCTTTGGTGGAGCCCAGATAAGTCAGCCAGTCTTACTACTAACAAACATAGCTGCAAAAAACCCTAACAAAATATTATCAAACTAAATTCATTATGTTTGATTAAATAGTTAACAGTCATTAAAACTTGTAGCACAACCAAAGTGGTTTACTGTAGGAATCAACCTGGAAAAACCAATCAATGTAATTTTATGAATATCATTCATTAAAAGAAAAACTATCTCAACAGCTAAAAAAAAGATAAAATTTATGATACTTGAAAAGATAAACTTAGCAGTCTTAAAATAGGTGCAAATTTCCTCATTTAATAAAGTGTATCTAAATTTTTTTTTTACAATGAATGTTACACTCAGTGGCAAAATATTGAAAAACCTTTCTTCTGGAATGAGGAACAAGAAATAGACTTGATATTAACACTTCTATTTAATATTGTAGTGAAAGTCCTGACCATTGCGATAAGATAAGAAAAAGTATAAAGGCTGGAAAGAGTATATCATATTCTCAATGATGAGGTATGACGTGTGAAAGAACCCAATGATAAAATGGTTGAATTAAGTGAAGTTAACAAGGTTTGTGGATACAAAGAGGACACTCAAAATTAACCAGCAATAAATTACAGAAATGGTAGTTTCTCCTAATACCCCCAAAGCTGTAGGTAGCTCAAATGCCATCAGTAGAGAAACATAGGAACAAAGTGTAAAATACTACTCAGCAGTAAAGAGAACAGGCGCTTGTGCCTCCTGCTGACACAGCGCCCGGCCCCGCTCTGTTGTGACGGGCCGGATTCTCCCAGCATTTCCCCCCTGCAGAGACCCAGTGTCTAGCGTTGCCAGTAGAGGGTGCTCCAGGGACACCCAGAAGGGCGGGGATTCTCGGATCTGGTGGGTTTCCTCCCTCCCTCTCTCCCTGTTCAGGTTCTTCCCTCCTCCTTCCTGTTCCTGCCAAGGGTGTAGAGGCCCTGCCCCCCCCACCCACCCCGCCCCACACACACACACACACCAGCCCCCCACAGGGTGCCCTGGCCCAGGCTTTGCTGATGGCCCAACCTGGAAGCAGCTGGTTCTGGGATGGTGCAACTTGTCCCAGTTTGCCCAAGAGGAACCCAGTTTATAACTGAAAACCCCATGTCCCGGGCACTCCCGCCCCCGGGACGCTATTCACCCTGCAAACCAGACTCCTCAGATTGATTAAATTGCATTTTAAAGGGGGGAAGTGCAGAATGTCAGCGCCTCTCGCCTCCGTTGGTGGGAAGGCCCTCCCCACCCGCTCCCCCTAGCAGCCCAGCGACACTGGCGGTGACACGGCCGCCCTTCCGCATCAGGCCCGCCGCCTCCCCGTCCTGAAACAGTGCCGTGGGGACGAGGGCAACCGTGTGACGCGGGACGGTGCCCAGCGGAGGGCAGGTCACCCTGGGTGCTCCCCTGTGCACACAACGGCAAGACGGCTCAGGCCCGGGGCGCGGCGGGGTTTGCTGAGCGGGAGACAAAGCTCCCCAGGCCGCAGGAGGCCGGCGCTCGAGCCCGAGAGCGCCCGCGGTGCCCAGAAGCCCAAGGCCGCTCATCCAAGATGGCGCCACCCCCCCCACACACACACCAGGGCCTGAGCCACAGCCTCGGGCGGGATCCACTCACCGCGGCGAGAGGCGCCCAGACGGGGGCAGCCCCGGCCCTGCCCGAGGTCGGGGTGGACGGCACCGACGCTGGGCCGGGCGGCCACGGGCAGCAGCCCAGGGAGGTGGCGCCGGACCATCAGGAGCAGCTCTCAGAGGGGCCCCGGACACTGAGTGCTGGTCACCCGTCCATGGTGCTGGGCGCGCTGGCCAGTAGTGCCGGTCACCAGGCTCGCAGCTCCGGGAGACTGGTGGGCCCGCATCACCAGCAGCGCTTGGAGCCCCAGGCGGGCCCAGAAGCAGGCCGGGCCTCTGCGAGGCGGCTCGGCTGCTCTCCTTCGTTGGAGGTCAGCGCGGGAAGCGTCCTTCCTCGGCAGAGGCCGGAGGGGAGTGAGCGCGAGAGCCCGAGTGTCTCCACCTGGTGCCTGCCCCCTGCATGCTCTTTCCGCCCCCTCCCCAGCCGGATTGGAGCTTTCCAGCCCCCGGCTGATGGGCCTTTGACCCACCCGCTCCCAGCCGCACCTGGGGGGTCCCTCCACGCCCCCGGCGCCGAATCCACCAGCCCCCCTACAGCCTGCAGCTGGAGGGGCCGCGGCACTGGAGCTGGCAGCGCCTCCCGACGTCCATTACCAGGATGAGGTGCGTCTGTTCTCGACGCCGGAAGCGCCGGCCACTCAGCGTGTTCTCTGCACAGACGCTGGGCTCGCAGCCACGAGGCCGTTGTGGTGCGCTGTACCCTGGGATGGTGTGGCCGGCGCCGCGGCCCTGGACAGGTGCCCGCTGTTTGCCGTTTGGGGCCAATATTGAGAGAACGGCTATTACCATCCACGGATGGCCCTGGCACCCGTGCCCTCGCAGCCCTGGGTGTGCCGGGGCAGGAGCCGACCCTGGGCTGGGTGTGCAGGGTCCACACTGGCTGTTGCCACTAGGGGAAGCATTTCCATAGCCAACTGACATGTCCCTCTGTCCAGGCAGCCACACCTGGTCCCACGTCGCCTTTGGTTGCTTACGTTTGGGTGATATTTAGGGCAAGACCCTAAACATTTAGGATCTTGCCCTCAATATCACATGTGGCCGTCAGTCCTGTTTCACTCACTGCATCGTGACTCGTCCAGTGAGTCTCTGGGCCAGCGGGGACTCTGCCGTGTGACCCACCAGAGGCCACTTCAGCGGTATCCTGGGTCACCCAAGGGCACAGACCGACCCCCGGGCCTCTGGCTGCCGCTGACTCTGTCCCTCCGGAGCCACTTTTTCTTGCCAGTTTGGTTATAATTTTAGTAGCTTTTTTTTTCATATTTCATTCATAACTAGTTGGGTCTGTTTTGTTTTTTTTTTAATTTTTTTTTTTTAAGTTTTATTTATTTATACAAGCACTGGGTACAGTCAGAAGCGCGGGAGGGTGAGAGAATTCACCAGAGCCAGAGCGGGGAGCAGAGCAGGCAGAAGGACCGAAGGACACTGCTGAGGGGAGCAGCGGGCGGCAGGAGAGGTCTGCGCGCCATGCGGGACCCTCCTCCGGGGGCCGGGGAGCAGCCGGGGATCGAACCGGCGCTGTAGAGGCCGTGGGCAGCTTCGCAACCCAGCGCTCACTGTGCCACTGGGGAGGCCCTAGTTGGGTCTGTTTTAAGAGGGGACATGTGTCCATCTGATCTGCCTCTTTACCAAAGGGGAAGACTCCAGTTACTTTTGAATGTTCCTATTTCCCCAAAACAACTCGCGGTCTTCAGGTGCTGGTCCACAGGCGTGGGGGCCCCGGGGCTTGTGGCCAGTAGGTCCAGCCCGTCCCCCTGAATTTGTTGCATCTCCAGGAAGGGAACCCAGGAATCTTCATTTCCATAAGAATCCAGAGGATTCCTATGTGCTGAGCCATTGCCCTAGAAAAAGCACCTTGGGGGGCGGGGGCTGCCTAGAGACAAGTTGACATTCCTGCAAGGGCACAGTCCTGCATCAGCTCACAGCGGGTGGAGACTGAAAATAGGCGCAGGTCTCTGTCACTTGGGATCGGGCACAGGCTTCTTGGATGTGACCCCAAAACAAGAGACAAAAGAGAAAGACCATTTGCACGTCATCAAAATTCAAAACATTTGTGCTACAATAAAAGGACATGTTGGGCTTTCCCCCTCTGCTGTGTTCCCGTTGCCATGCACATAGTAGGTCCTCAAAACTGGGCTGCATGAAGGAGGAGCATGTGCCTGCATCACTCTCCACCCCTGGGGGTGAACTTGCTCTGCTGTGCTGTGCAGTGAGGGCCAGACCCCAGGGGCCTCTTCTCCTGCAAACCTCCAGGAGAGGGTGGCCAGTTCCTGGAAGGGAAAAGTTGAGGGGCCCAGCCTGAAGTAACAGCCGGGGTCACCCTGGTGGCAGCTGCAGCCAGGGTGCAGGTTCCTGTTATAGGGCAGCCCCGATATTGAGCGGGTTGCCTGGCTGTGGGTCCTCACCCGCGCGCTTAAAGGGGACTTACGAATACTCCACTACAGGCGCACACAGAAGGTTCATAAAAGGTTTATTGACAAGGGAAAAGGAAATAAGGAAAACGGACAACTCAGGGAGAAAATAGGGAAATAAAGTCTTTCATGCGTCCTACCCGATCCGACGACCTGGAAACCCAAAGGCACTCTCCGAGCTGGCCGGACGCTGCGAGCTGGCGGGGAGCCAAAATGGGGGACCCCTCCAAAGCCCACGTGTCTGGCTTTATCCCAACCTGGCTGCTGAACCCCACCCTCAGGTCCCAGCCACCTTCCCTTGGGTGGGGATGGGATGTGGAGTTCCCAGTGTCTTTGGCTTGGGCCTGGGGTGGGGGTGGCGTCCACAAAGCCTGTATGGAATTAGCCTTAGGACAGCCTTTCCCCCCTAACATTCCCACGTGGAAACACCTGGGCAGCTGCAGGGTGGGGCGGGCAGGTGTTGCCGCCCCAGCATTTTCCCTGCTAGAGATGGGGTGGAAGGGGATGGACGAACCCCAACATCATCCGGGAGGCGTGCTGGGAGTGGCGTGAAGGGGGTGCTCGTGGAGAGGCTCCTGGTGACAGAGACTGAAAATGAACCAACGAGCCGCTTTAGAGCCGCTTCAAGGATGAGCGTTGAGAATGATTTGTTCTCTGGCACGGCAAGCGGTCAGACGAGGTGGTCAACTCCCCTGAGGGGCTGATCTGGCAATTAGCAAGATGTTTGCCCTCCAGCCACAGGAGAGGGTCTCACTGGGCTGGGAAGCCCTATAACACTCGGACCACCCTCTCGGGGACCCAGCCTGGGAGCCGGGAGAGGGGCGGCCGTGCTGGGCACAGCAAGGGAGGGGCACGAGGTGGGACTCAGTGGCCAAGTGCTCCTGTGGTTTCCAGGGGGCACGATCTACACCAGCCTGGGCCTGTCGGGCCAGCCCTGCGCATGCCCAGCGCATCTCAATGAAGCCAGGGCTGTCCCCGTGGCCACACGGAGCAGGAGCCCAGAGGCAGGCAGGCCGCCAGGAATCGTGCCGCCTGGAGCTCCTGCGGGTGGGCTGCGGGAAGGCAGGGCCGCTCGCTGGCCAGCGCGTGCAGTTCAAGGGCAGGCACAGCTGGCAGGTCCTGTCCCCTCGCTGCCACTTACCAGGTGGGGTCTGGGGCTAATTACTAGACTTCTCTGAACCCTAATTTCCCCCCTCGGGGAAGACCCCAGTGCTAATCTCGGGGGAGCTGTGAGAGTTCGGTGAGAGCAGAGGTTGGCATTTGCTGAGCAGGTGCCAAGCCCCAAGGTGCTCCAGCCCTTCCCGCAGCGCTGGCTCGGGAGGGCCGGGAGGCAGCGCCCGCTTCGCCTCATTGTTCAAGGCCCTGGAGAAGTTCAGTAACTTGCCCGAGGCCACAGGGCAGCAGGAGGACCCACCTGGGCCTGAGGCCCTTGGCAGCGACATGGTTCGCCTCACAGGGCGGGTACGGAGGCGGCGGGTAGAGTGGGGGGGCTCGTGGCCGGTGCGGGGGTGGCGGGGCAGCTCAGAAGGCGGGTGGTCCCAGTTAGCCTGGCTGGGGCAGCTGAGTCGATGTCTGGTGTCCTTACTCAGCTCTCACGGCACGGAGAGCCCGTCCAGGGAGACCACATTCTCCAGCGTCGCAGTGACGGGCAGGGCGGGGGGCGGACACGGGGGAGGGCGTGACCCCTAGCCAGGCCTGTGCTGCCCCCCAGTCTGGGGCGCTGGTATACACGGCAGGACTTTCACTGTGAGCACTGGAGGGTTTGCAACCCGGCCAGGGGGTCTCAAACTGAACCCTCTCGGCCCCGGGGGGCTCAGGGGCGAGGGGACCTTCGGGGGTAGATGCCGGCTTCAGGAGGTAGGGCCTGCCCAGCGCATCCGCGGGGGTGGGGGCAGCTCAAGCACAGGCAGCCCGGGGACTCGGCGGGCAGCCCAGGGTCACCCTGCCTGTAAGCGGGCAGGCTGGGGGCAGGCTGGGCTGGGGGCTTGGCTGGGCTCACCACCCGCCGGCCGGCAAGGTCACAGGTGACCATGGCCAGTGCCAGGGTCAGAGGTTTGCCGGAGGGCCGCTGGGCCAGCGCAGCCTAGAAGGGGCTTTAGCCATCAGGCCCTAGTCCTTGCATCCTTGGGGACCCTGCATCCTCGGGGACCCCTGCGTCCTTGGGCCCAAACAGCCGGGCCTACAGACAGCACCCTGGCACCCGGGGCGGCCCTGGCCATGGATTCAGATGACCGTCAGCAACTCACACCCTCTCCCGCCTCCTTCGATGGGGGACTCCCTAGCACCGGCCTAACAAGGTGACGGGAAATGACCAGAGGAGGGCGAGGGTCTTGGAAGGGGCCCGAGAGCTCAGCCCGAGGGCCCACCTGGCTGGCAGCTCCTGGGCGGCCCTGAGGCCCGGGAGGAAGGACTCGGGAGGAGCTGCAGGCCGGCCCCTCAGGGCCTGTGGTGTCGGCACACTGCTAGGTCCTCCGGAACCGCAGGCCCAACAGGCAGTGAGTGGCTGTTTCATTTAGTGAAAACCAAGTGAAATCTACACGCCATCTCTCCGGCGGCAGGAGCCGCCCCCACCTCCCCCCAGCACCCCCTGCCTCCTGCTGCGAGCCCCTCATCCCCAGCACCCCAGGAGGAGGCCGGTTCAGCCCCACGGCGCCCCCGTGAGGCGGCTGCTCTCCTGGCCCTTTTTGGGTTATGAGGAAAGAGAGGCCTGGGGGTGACCGCCCGCTGCCGCAGGAGCCCCCAGCTCAGCGCTCTGCCCACTGCCCCCTCTCCTGGGCCCCCAGGTGCTGTTCCCGGGCCCCTCCCGGCACCTCCCCCTCAGACACAGACTTGACCCAGCACTCTTTATTGGCTTGGCTGGGGCTAGAAGTTGGGGTGGGGGCTAGCTCTGTTTCTGGGGTGCTCCTGGCCTGAGCCCCTCAGGGGACTTTCTTGGGCAGGGGGTTAATGATCCCACTCTCGATGTACTCGAAGACCGTGTACGGGTCCTGGTCCCCGTTGAGGGTGATGGCCTCCCCGTAGAAGCGCTCCAGCTCGGCGGAGCTCCGGTAGTACAGGTCGACCTTGAGCTTGACCTGCTCTTCCGAGTCCTTCGGGTTCTGCAGCAGGCGGCCCTGGACCTCCATGGTCGGCGGCGGCTTGTACATGAGGTGGTACCTGCAGAGAGGGGGAGCAGGTGACCGCCCTCCGGGACACCGGGCCGGCCACCCTCCCGGCCGCCACCGAGCCTTTCCTGGCACCAGCTGCACCCGCCCTCGGCTGCGCCCTGGAGCCCCCGAGGCCCCCCGAGGCGCCCCCAGGGAGGGGGCCCAGCCCAGTCCTGGGGGCGGAATATGGGAACATAGCAAGAGTCATGTTCCTTTCCCCCTTTCTCCTTCCTTCCAAACAACGTCTACGACGCGCCTGCTGTGGGCGGGCTCCTCGGCCCGGGTGAAATGCGCGAGGGGCACGGAGGACACCGGCTGGTGGGGAGAGGCCCCAGGGGCTGGGCGCCAGGGACTAGGGCAGCTGGGAGGAGGAGCAGCCGCCCTCCCGTTGGGGAAGCCTGCCCAGTGCGTCCTGCGCCTCCTGCAACTCCGAGTCTACACCGGCACTCGGCACTCGAGGGAGGCGCCGCCGGCTCGCTCAGGGCAGGACTCGGAGTGGAGGCTCAAGCAGAGCGCGGGGGTGCATTGGTCAGGCTGCAGGGAGGAGCTCGGAACCTGCCCCTGCACGACGGGGCGCTGGAGAGGCCCCGGGGCACGGCTCCGGCAGGGGAGCAGCACGCGGCCTGCCCGCCCGCCCGCACACACCTTTCTCCCGTGACGGGGTCCGTCCTTCGCAGAGTGAGCCGCTCCATGACCGAGTCAAAGGGCACGTTCAGGAAGAACACCCTGCGGGAGGACAGGCCCAGGTCAGCGGGCGCCCGGGGGGCTCCTGTCACCCAGCCAGGGCGGCCCCCCAGCCCGGCCCGGGCACCAGGCCATAGGGAAGAGGCAGGCGGGGCTGCTGCCGGGAAGCTCTTGCACCGGATCCAGGGACGCCCCGAGCCCCATTCTCCCGGGGGTCCCGGCGGGGCAGGGGTCTCTTCCAGGGGAGCCGCTCGGGAGCAGACGCATCCTTGCCACCTGCGCTCCGCAGTCACGCGGGCTTGGCCAGACTCTCGCCGCACCGGGGACTTGGTGTGACGGGCACTGGCGCGCTCACCCAGACTCAGCGCCCCCCACGGCAAAAAGCGGCCGACACAGGTGCCTGGTGGCGAGGTTGGCGAGGCGCTGCGGGCCAAGCGGGTCCAGAACCAGCAGCGGCGCTGGGCTGCGCCCCCGCTGTCAGGGGACGCCCTTCCGGCCCAGAGGCCCTGCCCTCCCGGAGGGGGTGGTTCTTCTCCCTCGCCAAGGAGTGCGGGACCCAAGCCAGCAGGATGCCCGAGGGCCTGCGCAGGGCCCGGGTGCCCCGGTGACTGGAGGGAGAGGCCAGGGCTGCTCAGGCACTCAGGGGCCACCCCCCCAGAGAGCGCAGTGCAGGTGAGGGGTGCGGTGGCTCGGCTGGGGCCGGGGCCGGCCCTCAGCTCTGACCAGCATCTTCCAGCCTTGGGCCATCTTGGCTTGTCTTAACAATAACTTCTGGAACAGTCCCTCCTTCCACCCTGTCCACTCACCCTGTCCTTCAGTGGAGGTCCACACGCGCGTCCGGAGCGCCGGCTGGGGCCAAGCTTGCAGCCAGCACCCCTGTCCAGGAAGGACACTGACACCCCATGATCTGCCACTGTTGACTGGGGGACGGGTGTGGGGTGTGTGTTCCACAACCGATGTGCATTCCCCCCAACCCCATGCCAGGGCCACGCCCCCAAAGCAAGCACACACTGCCGGCCCGAAGCCTGTTCATGTCACGTCCCAGAAAGGAAGCTCAGTGAGCAGCGCCCCCAGGCGTACGAGAAACACGCAAACATGGGATCCCCACCTTCCCCCTGGGGCTGAGTGTGAGGGAGCCTCGGACGTGGCCAACTGTGTGCCGGCTCCCGGCTGCAGGGGTTGGGTCAGGACGCAGGGCTGATCTGACACAGCCCATGGGAGGGGGTGGTGTCTGCCCTGGGCTTGCTGGAGAGAAAGGAGCTTCGATTTTGCCAGGGCTGCCCTTGGGGAGCCCACCCCGAGAGAGCAGAGAGGTGGCGAGAGGAGCAGCTGGGTCCCCGATCAAGCCACGCCTGAAGCCAACTCCCCTCCCTCAATGCTTCCCTGACAGGGAAGGATCGGCCTCTTCTGTTTCAGGCCTTCGGAGCTGGGCTTCCTGCCACTGCTGTCTGATGAAAACCCAACACACCAGCCTCTCCAGTCTGCTTCTGGAAAATGTGTGAGCTGTAAGAAGAATGGGGGTCCCTGAGCCCACAGTCCCCTCCCCCCCAAGGCCAGCTTCACCCAGTGCGCTCTTCTCCCTCTCTCGTTCTGCCGTGCTGTTTGCTGGGCCCTGCTTCTGCCCAGGCTCCAGGCCGCCCCCAGCTGCAGTGGCCCCCCAACGAGCTTCCTCAGCAGCTAGGGGGGCGCAGGGGCCACAAAACCCATGTCTTCCCTGCCACGCTTTCCAGAGTGATTTCCCTTGGCAACATGCTGCACAATAACAGCCTCCAAATAAAACATGTGAGATCGGGGAACGTGCGAACACGGGGAGAACAGGTGTTTCACTGCACTTTTATCCCTTGCACTCGGAACACGCTGGGCCCCCCGCACTTCCAGAACGCGCAGGGCCTAACAGCATCACCAGCGCAGGGCTGACGCCGAGGCTGGCGGCTGGCGGTGCCGCTCCGGATGCCGCCGCAGTGGAAAGGGAGCCAGTTTGGAGATCCTGGCAACTGAGGCTGCTTCACAAACAAACAAGCCCCAACCGCAAGGTTTTCACCCCAGCCTCTCAAGACCGCTTGTCGTCATTCAAGGGGATGGCTGGCGAGAGGCTGGCAAGATCAGAAGCACAAGGGCACCAAATTGGTACTTGAAACACATCGCTGGGAAGAGCCTCGCTGGAGAGGAGCTGAGCTCCATGCTGGAAGCTTCTGATTAGTCAGGCTCGTGGCGCCCGGCCGCAGGCGGCTGCTCAGAGTCAGACGGCCCAGGTGCCCCCCACCTGGCTTTTTGTTCTCTGCATCTCGTTGGCAATAACCATGGGTCAGGGAGACTGGGGAGAGCGGAGACAGCAGAGGCCCCTCAGGCAGGGCCTGCAGGCAAAGCACCCTGGGGTGTGTGGGGATGGGGTGCGGGGCTCACCTGGGGTGAGTGTAGCATTCCAGGCAGGTGGATGGCCCAGCAGGAGGTGGACGGTACCCCGGGAGGCCTCTGAGTCCCTCACTACTCAAAGTGGGGTCTCAGAGCAGCAGCAGCACTGCCGGGAGCTCCAACACCCCGCCTCCGTCCGAGGCTTCATTTTGTGAAGAGCTGCTCGGGCACACACACAGCATGGCTGAGGCGCTGCTCTGACCTGCGCTCCGCACCTGCCTGGTGGAGGCGGTCATCTGGAAGGCTTGTCTAAACCCAGACCCCGGTTCCCTCCTAGAGCTACAGAGAAACCCACAGGCCCCAGGGGGGCTTGTGTCACAAGCCAGCAGCTCGGCGATGGGGAGCCAGGGCTTTCCCCCAGGGTCCCCCTACAGCCACTGGGGGGACTTGAGAATACGGAGGCCTGACCCTCTGTGTCCCTGGCCCAGCTGGGACCTTCTAACCTGCCCTCAACCTGCTCCTGCCGACCAAACTCCTCGTGGCTCTGTTTACGGAGGAAGGAGCCTCCCTCCTCGGAGGCCTGGGCGCTCACCCCTGATTCACTGACATTGAGGGGCAGAATTTTCTGTGGGCCCAGGGACAGATTTGGTGGGCTGTGAGGTCTGACGTACACTAACTGACTTCAAAGAGGGCAGGGCCCAGCCCTTGGTACCCCTTGATCTCAAGCAACCAACAAGTCTCCCGCCTGCACAATGCTCCATGCAGGCACCTGGCGTGACTCCCGTGAGCTTGCGCCCTTAGATGCTAGGATAAAAAACAAAAACAAAAAGCCAGCGAGTCCTAAGTGCTGGCGAGGATGCGGGGGAAGCGGGCCCCTTGGAATATAACAGGGAGCAGCCCTGCGGGGGAGCCGGCTGCCCCCCAGGGACACACCCCCAGTGAGAGACAGCAGGGGCGGGGCGGGCGGGTGAGACCTCGTTCACAGCAGAGGTGGTCCCAGTAGCCCGAGGGGGCGGCGGCTCGCGTGCCCACCGGTGGGCCTCGGGAGGGCGGCGCGGGCTGTGCTGGCACAGGAGGTCCTCACCGACACAGGAACCAGCCCCAGGACTGGCCCTCGGCCTCCGGTCATCTTGACCCCGGAACATCCGGTGGCGCCAGCGTCCGGCATCATCCGGGCATCCGGGGGCGGGAGTCTCAGTTCAAAGCAAGAGTTTTAGTTTGAAGAAGACAGATCATCGGGCACACCGTGTGCCCGTGCAGCCGCGCTGTGTGCCGGCAGGTTCCTGCGCCTGGTGTGCGCCCGCCCTGTTCCCGGCCCTCTCCAAGAGGCCACATCCTGGGGAGAGGCGGGAACGTCGGGGGAAGGCCTCCCTCGGTGCGGGTCACAGACCTTGGCGCTGGGGCAGGAAGCGGAGTCCGTGCCCGAGATGCCACCTCCCCGGGCCCACGACGCCTGCCCACGGCAGGAGGCATGTGTGTGACCCTGACCGGCCCCAGGCTACCCGGAGGAAACATACCCTGGTGCTTCTGGCCGAGGTCGGCGTTTGAATCAAGGCCGCAGGGAACAGATGATCCTCCCCAAGGGGGCTGGCGTCCTCCAGCCCACTCAGGGTCTCCCTCCGTGACAAACGCTGCCTCGATGCCTGCCCCTCGTCTCACGCTGTTCCTCAGCCACGCGCCGCTGCCCGCCGGGGCTGCTCAGACCCCGCCACTCGGTTTCCTCAGGTGCCGCAGCAACGCTTGGCTTCAGGCCTTTCCACAGCCAGCATTTTCCCTCCGTGAACCGCGGAGCCTCACTGCTTGGCTTCACTTTTCACCCTGTGCTTCCCTTCAGCCGGCACCGTCACCTCCACCATCGCCTCATCGTCACTGCAGACTTCACGCACCCACTCTGACGAGCCACGCGCCGGCACGAAGCCGACCACACACGTGTGCGCCCCGTTAGCCCCTGTAAGACGCACGCGGCCTCGGGGGTCCTGACATCCTGCCCCTCTGGTACGCCAGCCGCAGGCCCCCGCAAGGCCGGGTGGTGGCCCCGGCGGTGCGCTGGCCCAGCTGCCCCGAGAACGCCTTTGCTGCCCTGCTAACCTTCCAAAATGCGAGATCACTTTCGGGAGAATTCCCGAAGCCTCCGAGGCAAATCAGGATGTGGAGAGTGAAGTCTGAAGCAGTTTAGAAGGAGAGCTAGTGGAGTGGGGGGGCCAGTGCCTATGTACCCCCCCCCCCAAGGCTCGCTGGACCCCCCTCTCGGAATCCTTGGGGCCAAAACCACCACCTCATCTGGGTTCTACATCACCTAAGGGAACACCCAGCTCCCCGGGGGGGCAGGACCCCATGCTCCTTGGGGGCAAGACCCCCCCTCCAGCAGCTTGCCTTACCAGGGACACTGAACACAGCTGCCTGTCGGGCTCAAGATAAGTCATGCAGATTCCAGATTCTTCTGGAATCTCCACAATTGCAAGGGCTTGCTTAAGGAATCCGCCGCCGTGTTTGTTAAACCCACACTTTAATTACTCCAAAAATTATGTGAAATCCTTGCATAAATACGGCAGCGACTGGCGTCTCCCAGAGGATGGCATTTCAGGGGGCTGGGGGCGCCAGAGCTCGCGACGTTAAAAGTGAGGGGAAGAGGCGCACGCAGAAAAGATGGATGCTCTTCGCAAAATCAAAAGGCGAGGCCAAGCCGTGCC